GCATCACTTGTTTCACCTTCAACCACTGCAAACGCAATGGGGAGGATGTTGTTGCGGCCATCTTGTGCTACTGCAACCAACAAGGTACCTCTATATTTTCCATACAAAAAAGTTCCGTCCACTTGAACAATGGGCTTGCAGTGAACAAATCCATCTATGCATGACCTAAACGCCCAAAACACACGTTTAAAAATATTTGAATTTTGTTGAAGGACTTCACCTTGGTAAGCTGGTTGTGACATGGTTTCTGCTTTTTTGTCTAACCCAATGCAGGGAATCCAAGATTGGAATCCTAACTTAGGTGGGTAACTCAACATTAGATTCTTTACTTGTGTGCATCAGAAAGACATGGGAATCCTGACTTCGGTGGGTGACTCAGCTTTGTAAATACTTGCAGGTTTTCTCGCTTAAGCGATGGTTTCTCGCTCGAGCGAAAAAGAACCCGAGAGTCCCCTTGTTTGAAGGCTTCATCGCTCAAGCGGTGCCTTTGTCGCTTGAGCGAGTAATGACCGAATCATGAAACGCCAAACGCAGTTAGCCAAATAATATAACTTGGTTCACCACATATTAGAATCACTTGTCGCTCAAGCGTTCATAATGTCGCTTGAGCGAGACAGAACCCGAGAATCCCCCATTTTTCCAGGTGTCCTCGCTCAAGCGATGTGATTTTCGCTTGAGTCACCTTAGATAGCGGTTGATGAAAACCGCTTTTAAAAATATATATTAGATAGCGGTTAGGCTTTAACCGCTTTCTAATGTAGTAGTTTAGATAGCGGTTGGCCAAATAACCGCTATCTAAAGTCATATATGTCAAAGTAATCGACTATAATTGGATAATAATCGATCATACTTTTCGCTCAAGCGAGGGTTTATTCGCTTGAGCGAGAATTTACCCCCAGATTACCCCTTCGTTACAGATTTCCTCGCTCAAGCGAATGTTATCTTCGCTTGAGCGAGAGTTCAGTACGCGAAATAATATTATTTTAATACGTGAACAGTAAACAGTTACACAAAATAATATTATTTTATTAAGTGAACAGTAAACAGTGCTAGTTGTGTAAATAAAGTTGCAGAGGTGCTATTTTGGTAAATATTTTTGTAAACAGTATTATTTATGAAAAAAAGTCAAAGAAAGGTCATACTAAAAAAAAGCTAAAATAACTCTTATATATACATATATCTCAAACTCCTAACAAACTAATTAATTAAAGATTAAAAAAAAAAGAAAACTTAATTATTATCCGGTATTAAATGGGAATGAAACAAGAGATCAATTCAATATATAAGCATTTTTTGTTTTATGTTCTTTTATGTTACCTTTTGTTTTTTACCTTGCGTGTTTCAAGGTCACCTAATTTGACTTTAGATAATGTAAGGAAAAACAACAAGAAAAACAGAAGCAACACCAAACTTTCGGGCCTTCTCTGGCATACTCATACTTTAGTCCAGAATATAATAAAGTTTCTGCCTTAAATTTGTTTAATACGATAAATTAAGATATAAAGATAGAAAAACCTTATATTTTACTATGTATTAAAACTGTAGTTCATTGATAATATATTTTCGTTGTTTCATCTGTCAAAATTGTCTAACATACATTTCCTATAACTTTAAACTAAAAAATCATGTTATATAATACCTTCGGAAACTGATTTAAAGTTTCTGTGATCCTTAAAATCTCCACGTAATGGCGTATAGTTGCAATCCCTAAAGTATATATCCTCGGTCATACGCAATCGAAAATAATGCTGCTACTGCAACTGCAACCGAACTTTCATTAGTTGAAATAATAATGGTCATTCAAGAACCCTTTTGGTAAGAGAAAATTTTTACCACCTACCTGAGCCAGGAGCTTGTATTTTGATGATCCCTTTACTATGATTTCATCATGAGTGAATCAAATTCACGTGGGTCCCATGTGCACTTATGGGGATTGTTGATCATAGATGGTTGATGTATTACTCATTTTTATTAATATAATAATTTATAAATTGATTTAATAAAAATAAAAATAAAATAATTATTATTATAATATTAAATAGAGTTATTTTCAGGAATTATATGAATTTAGGTTTTCAAATAATAATTTTCCTTAGTGATACTATGTCTCCAAGTTTAGACACCATTCATTACACCCAAGAATAATTTCTTCAGACGAGAAAAAAAAAAGGTTATAATTTTTCACTTACCACCTCACTCGTATACTCATATCCCTAGTCTGTCTAAGACCAGAAACATCCATTTTGAAGCAAAGGATTGATATAGCTACGAAGGTTCTATCTCCTATGAATAAATCACCAACTAATTCATTGGACAAATATAGTATGTGATATGATGATGCTTCGTATCTCTCGCCGGTTGCGGGAAATATTGTTTATATTTATTTGTCCTCTGCAGTAAGCATCATGCAGATATATCTAATACCTTTTCTCTTCTCTGATACGTGAAAACCATGGATTAATTTAATATATATTCACTCTCGTTACACTCAATGTGATTTGAATCTCATGTCTCTTACTTCTATGTTTCACTTTCTACTCCATTAACTAAATCATGACACCTTATTTACGTTGTTATATATGTATATTTTACCTAATTTAAGTTATTATACGCTCTTTATATGCATTTTTCTTTTTCTTTGAAGATAGTTTAAACTGGTGTGCAAGGTCATCACAGAAGTTCTTATTTGTGCGAAAAAAATGAACTGATTAGGTTAAGTTGACGTGTTTATGTGAAACTCATGGTAGTGAGAATGTGAAAATGAGAGAACTTTTAGTGTGCCGAGAGTGTTGACTTTTTTGGAGTGAGGATTTTGTACGAATAACCAGTGGGTCTCTTAGTTAATTTTAAAATTGTTAGATTTACTTTCTCGTTTTATTTTGTTCTCTCAAATCTGTCAATGCAACCATTTGTTTAAAAAAAATATTTATATATTAAAATTAAAATTAAAGATTATAATTAAATATATTATATTTTTTATTATATTATTAAAATATATAAATATATTATAATATCATAACTTAAATTATAAATATATTATAATATTATAATTATAAATATTAATTAATTAAATTAAAATTATTGATTATAATTAATTATTTTAATAAATAAATATAGTTATTTTTTAAATTTATTTAATAAAACATTAATTAATAAATAAAAATATAAAAACTATTTATATAATTAAAAAGAATTTTTTTTAAAATACATGTAAACAAAATATTAACTTATAAGATGAATTGATGTGTGTATCCCATTTGATTTGATTAAGATAGATTCACAGTCCAATCTTAATTTTTTAGATTTTTTTACGAACCAGAGAGGATGAACGTAAAGTGACCTAATTTATCATCTATACACATGAGAAGGGTGAAAGTAAATATTATAAATGTTTATATTATTAAAATAAACTTAATTAAATGTTATAAACAATTGAATACGAAGGTATTAAAGTATGAGATGAACAAGAATATTAAAAAATAATGTATAAAGAGATAAAGATATTAAAATATAAGAGAGTTAAATATGTTTTCTTGGTTGCAGCATTTTTTTTAAATTTTTGGTCCTTATATTTTAAAATTAATAAATTAATCTCAAACTTTAAAAACAGTGTGAATTTCATCCTTTCATCAACTTTGTAACGGTGAAAAAGTGTTATTAAATATAAAAATTTTAGGTATAAAAAAATTAAAATTATATATCTTGTAAACTTAATTAATCACTTTATTAATTTTATAACTATAAAAAAATCATTATCAAATATTAGATTTGGGTATAAAAATTAATTAATTTGAAAGTATATGAACTAAAAAAATCAAGTTCTAAACAAATTAAAAGAATAAAAAAAAAACACATCCAATATGAGATAATTTGATAAAGATATTATAACACGGGAAATCCAATAATGAAAGATTAAATTTAACTTGAAAAAGTGGAGGAAAAAAGAGACATCCTAGGGCAACTATCTCAACATGGATTCGAGAAAGATATACAATATTAGTTAAAGAATCATCTTCAAAAAATACATAATTATTGAAAATCATAAGATTTAATATCGTTTATTAATATATATATATATATATATATATATATATATATATATATATATATATTTAGAATACTATAACACGTATATGGTATATTATATTTGTTAAGTTTTTATAAACTTAATATTTTCACTTAATAAAAGTCAAACCATATCCACTAGAGTTTAAGTTTAAGTTTCGTAAAGACTTTTATATTATTAACCAATTAGAAAGTCATCCTAGATATGAATTTTAAAATAAGACTTTAATATATATATATATATATATATATATATATATATATATATATATATATATATATATATTAAGTACGATGATATCTATGAATTTGTTACACAGAATATTTTTGTTCGACATGTCAAGGAATAAAAATGAGAAATAGTACATAACTTTGGCTCGTACCAAAAAAAGTAACCATAGTGGTAACATGTTAATTTTTTTTATTTTAAAATATATTACTTATCACAATTTAAAAAAATAATAATGATCTAAATAACTATATTAAAACTAAGACTAGTATAAAAAATAAAATTAAACTTTATATATATAACTATATATTTTATTAAAAAAAATATAATAGATATCCACTGCGATCATAATATTATCTATACATCATTGGCTAATAAATAAAAGATATTTTATTTAATATCTTACAGTAAAATGAGAAAGACAGAATTGAAGGAGTGGATGAAAGAGAAAAAAAGAAATGAGAAGGAAAAAGATTTGTAGTGTGTTTGGCATCATCTTCACCGTACAAATTCAAAGAGAAGGTGTTGGAAACAATTCAACCTACCCTCACTCACTCCCTAACCAATAATCAACATCAAACAGTACTTCATCTTCCATCTCAACTCTTTGTTCATCACTTCAACCCTTCCAACACTCAACACCACCACCCTCTCTCTCTCTCTCTCTCTCATTGTTCACTTGAAGTGAACAAGAAACTCAAAATCCATGGCAAACACTAACAACTTCTTAACCCAACTCTTAAATTGCACCCCAAAAAAACCAAATACTTTATTCACCAACCTCTACCTTCTCTCCTTTGCCACCTTCCTCTGCACCCTCTTTTACTTCCTTGGTCTATGGCACCACTATCCCACCACCACCATCGCCGCCGCCGCCACCACCTCCTCTTCCCTCTGTTTCCACAGTAATTCCACCACTACCTCCTCTGCCGCCGCCCCATCATTCGCCAACCTCGACTTCGCCGCCCACCACAACCTCCCGGACCCGCCGCCCTCAGCTGCGCGTGGGCCGCATCTCCCTCCCTGCGCGTGGTCCTTCTACGAGTACACTCCCTGCGAGGACCAGCAGCGTTCTCTCCGCTTCCCGAGAGCCCGACTCGCCTACCGTGAGCGGCACTGTCCGCAGGCGGCGGAGGTCCTCCGGTGCCGGATTCCGGCGCCGTTCGGATACCGACAGCCACTGCGGTGGCCGGAGAGCCGCGACGCGGCCTGGTTCGCGAACGCGCCGCACAAGGAGTTGACAGTGGAGAAGAAGGGGCAGAATTGGGTCCGGTTCGAGGGGGAGCGGTTCAGGTTCCCCGGCGGTGGCACCATGTTTCCACGTGGCGCAGATCGCTACATCGATGACATCGGAAAACATATTAATCTCCGAGACGGGTCTATTCGAACCGCTATCGACACCGGTTGTGGGGTACGTTCGTGTTATTTCTTCACTGGAATCCGGTTCGGCTCTTCCTGAACCGGTTCCTTCTCAAACCCTTTCTTTTTCTTTGGTGTTATGTCATTACTTCATGTGGTCAATAACTACAGATTTTTTTTTTATTATACGTGGACAGAATCATTCCTGAAAATTATGCATTGACCTGAATATTTGTCATTTGGCTATGGTCAGAGCATAATTAACATAATTTCCAAAACTTTTAATATAGAAGTATATTATTCAAAATTTAGTAAATTATTTTAAAAATTCCTCATTATCCTATCAATACAAAAATTGTTTTGAAAAATATCAATACTTTTAAATTGATCACGAGTTTTTATAGATAAAAATATATTTTTCAATAGAAGCATAATTATTTATATAGAATTTTGGAGGGTAGAAAATTTTGGGTTTACCATGAAGGTTTAGTGGACCGGTTTTATGATGAACCGGGTTTACTCTTATTAAGTGGCTTGACGAATCCATAGAATACTGAACTCTTGTTGCTCAGTAATGTTACTAGTTGGGGCAAAGTTTGAGAAATAATATTAGAAGAAAAAATAAAATTGAAAAACAATAAATCATTATATTAAAAATGAAGAAATACACAAAATAAATATAGAAAAAATAATATATAAAGAAAAAGAAATTAATTAAAATCATAAAATATTTGTATCTTTATGTTGAACCATCTTATTAATCACGATTAGTTTTCCTCCTGCAATAATAATTTAATATTAACAAATATCTTAATTATATAGTAAAATAGAATTACTAATTTAGTTCAAGTAAAATTGAAATTGAATTTATCAAATATATTACATGATTTAAGTTTTATAAACTAAAAAATGTAATTTACAATTTTTGATTAAAAATAGTAAATTACGTATTTTATTTATTATAAACTGTTTTACATAATAAAATTTTATAATGTTTATCCTAAAAATTATCCTAATAATAATTTATAATTAAATAATATTATAAAATTGTATCTCTATGTGTTCAGCTTATATTTACTTTTTTTTTGTTTTACTTCATTTTATTTATTTTAATCTTATTCTTTCTTTATTGTGTTATGTAATTCTGATATTTTTTATTTATAAATATGAATAGAAATATGCATCCATGAAAATAGATCATGCATAAATGTATACATCTAATATTTTAAAAATTTAAAATTATACTATTTTTATAATAAAATTCTTATCAATTTGAAAATTTAAAATCTACTTTTTTTAATTAACATATACAATTAGAATCTTTTGAGCCATCCCCACATCTATATAGAATGAGTTGAGATTACAAATGGGTATTTTTGGAAATAAGCACTTATACTCTTGTGGCCGAGTCAGTTGTCATTTCCTAAATGTTTGGCGAAACTTCCTATGGAGAGTATTTTATGTGACATCAATGGCATTTAGTCAGTAAAAAATTGAGTTATGATGGGATCATATTTGTCTCTCTATTTTTTTTTTCATTCTCTTTTTGGATTAAGAAATGACTTTGAAATCAGTGAAGGGTGGAATGGTTGTTATGAATAATGCCAAGCTTCTGTGCAGGCCAGAGAGTTTCCTTCAATCAAATTTAGGCATGCCCTTAAACCATGTTTTGGAAGAACTGAACCAAATCTGTGCCTGTGACAGTTGCATAAAAACTTTACCTTTTTCCACTTTTGTCTTGCCCCTGTTTTTCTGGAGAGGAAAAGAGAATTAATTTTGCAAAAAATCTTCCATTTTTACCTTCAAATAGAAGTAAAGCAAATAATTATTGAGATATTAAATTTGCTTTCTTGTTGTATTCATTGGAAAGCATGTGGCTCTTTTTTTGGCTCAATGATTTAACAAGACCTTGCAATATTAAAATACAAAACAGTCCAAACTTGCTTTTCTGTCTTTAAGTTGTTTGTTGAAGAATAGGTGAGTGAAAAGCACAATAAGAACTTGACACATTACAACCTAACCATCTCAATCATTCATTCCTTTTCCTTATCTGTTCAATTACTTAATCAACACTTCACCAGTTCACCCCTCCCTAGCTCACACCTTCCTCCTATAAATAATAATAATAATAATAATAATAATAATAATAATAGTAGTGAACATTATATTTTCATTTAATATCTTTAAAAGTCATATCTAGAATTATATTTACCTAAAGACTTTGTAAAAAAAGACAAGTAATTACAGTAATAAAGAATGTTAGTTTGAATCTTTACAAAAAATTCATCCAAACCAAACTAAGTAATAGGAGCATAACATGCATGTATTTATCTATTGAAAGGTACTCAAAACAACAACCACACTGGATTTTTTAAACTTGTTTCATTTTTTTGTATGATATTTTTTCTTTGGGTTGTAACAAGTTGCATATTAAAACTCAGGTTGCAAGCTTTGGAGCTTATCTTCTATCACGTAACATTTTAACAGTGTCATTTGCACCAAGAGATACTCACATATCACAGGTTCAATTTGCTCTTGAACGAGGTGTTCCTGCATTGATTGGAATTCTTGCTTCAATCAGGCTTCCATACCCTTCAAGGGCCTTTGACATTGCTCATTGCTCACGCTGCCTCATTCCTTGGGGCAACTATGGTACACCCTCCCTAAACACCTCTAAGCTCTTATTTAGATAAACTTTTCAACATGTATGAAAAAATAGAATTTAAATTAATTAAAAAAAAAAAAAATATAAGCACTTCTTTAGTTTTTCATAAATTTCTTTAAACTTTTCACATATCAGTTTTCTTAAAAACAATGATTTCTATGATTGTAAAGACAGATGAATAAGCTTATGCTTTTCTTAATCTCTCTAAAATTAATCAATAGACTATTTTATATCAGAATAAAACCAAAATCATGTTTAGGTTGCCAATGATTTTGTGAGTGTGAAGGTGACAGTGCATTGTTTGTGGTCTTGGCAGATGGAGTATACTTGACTGAAGTAGATAGAGTGTTACGTCCAGGGGGGTATTGGATTCTATCAGGGCCACCAATAAACTATGAGAAGCACTGGAGAGGGTGGGAAAGGACTCGTGAGAGTCTCAAAGATGAACAGGATGGAATTGAGGATGTGGCAAAGAGTCTATGCTGGAAAAAGTTGGTACAGAAGGATGATCTTGCAATATGGCAGAAGCCAACCAATCATGCACATTGCAAACTCAAGCGAAAGATCTTCAAGACTGGTAGACCCTTCTGTGGTGAGGCACAGGATCCAGATGCAGCATGGTAATATCATATTTTTCAGATTTGACATTCATCTCATCAAGGCTAATCAGTTTTACTAACTAGATTAACATATTGGGCTGGTAACTTGGTAATTATCATATATGTTAGGGGTTGTTTGGTTGAATAAAGCAGATTTCGTTTTTATTTTCTAATTTTCATTCTAATTATAAAAATGCTGAATCTTAAAAGTCAAAACAGAAAAAGATAAACTAAACTTCTCGGTGATTTGACTCCTCTTTTTGCTACATGTGTTGGCTCCTTTGCTTGTGATATAGGTTTTGGCTTTTGTGCATAGCTTTTATTGTGTTTCTTGTCAAAAGAAAAAAGGAAAATTATTCTTGCTGCCAAAGAGAGCTTAGCAATGATACCAAAACTAGTTGGAAGATAAAGAGCCTAGGCAGCACAATGTGATCTGGCAGAGGGCAGCTTTAGTTAGTAAACCTATGTCTGGTACCTACAATGGGGCTACCTAGCCACTTAAGCTTATATTGATTATTCTCCAGTGTTCCGTACTGCATTTCTATAGGTTCCTGCATCTTATGGAGCACTTCAGAACATGATAATATTATACTTTTGCCCCTCCGATGTAATGTTCTTTTCTTTGAGAAAAGTTTGTTGTCTAATCATAAATTATTACGTATAATAAGTTTATGGATTTTTATAATAACTACCTAAAAAAGTTTTGCGTATCATAATTTCTGCTAGTTGACAATGTAAGTTTTTTATTAAGACAATAGATGGTAATTATACTCTTTATTTAATGCACAGTTTCCTTTAGGTTGCTGGTTTCATCAAGCCTTTTTCATTGCAGGTACACTAAGCTGGATACATGCTTGACCCCACTTCCTGAGGTAAAGGACATCAAAGAAATTAGTGGTGGAGGATTGTCTAATTGGCCTGAGAGACTAACTTCAATCCCCCCAAGGATTAGGAGTGAAAGTTTGGAAGGAATAACAGCTGAGATGTTCACAGAAAACACTCAGTTATGGAAAAAGAGAGTGGCTTACTACAAGAGATTGGACCATCAGCTAGCAGAACGTGGGAGATATAGGAATCTGCTTGATATGAATTCTTACTTGGGAGGCTTTGCAGCTGCACTGGTTGATGATCCTGTGTGGGTTATGAACATTGTCCCTGTTGAGGCTGAAATCAACACCCTTGGTGTTGTGTATGAACGTGGATTGATTGGAACCTATCAAAACTGGTAAGCCTTTCTTCCTTTGCTAGGGAAACCTGAGTTGGTTGTTAATCAGAAAACATGTTCTTAGTTGTAGATTAAGTACACCTCTTCAGTTTTTTTGGCTTATTCTCACAAGATAAATGTAAAACTAGTTAGTTTGAGAAGTAAAGGTACCATGTTTAGGCTGGTCAAAATTGTTTCAGCATGGCAGTCAACTTATATAACCACCCATCGAAACAAATTGGATTGTGTTGATGGCTCAACTTTTCCATCCACATAATCCAACGTGTTAGGTTGACCTACCAAATTTGTCCATTTGTGTTTTGTTTTTTATGTTTAGGTGGATTGTTTAGTTAAGTATAATTTTGTCAGCATAACATGATGTTAGTTTCTAAAAAATAAACGTGTCAATATGATTTAATAGGGTAACATTTATGTTATGACATTTTGGTTTTGTTTGGATAATTTATATTTGTAATTTATTTAATGAGTCATTCATTCTTTTTATAACAATTTTTCTATTTTCTTAAGATAATTTACACACCAATCCAATCCAATATTTTCAAACTGGATCTAACCTTACAAGAATTTTTTAGAGGACAATGCAATGCTTAAGAGCTGGTTGGATACAATGCCAATATTATTTTATAAGAAACATGAATGTAAAAAATTATTTTATTGCTTTATAAGTTAGGGTGTGGGTGTGTAGGGTATCCTATGTCATATATTTTGTACGTTTACTGTGTTGTGTTGCGAGTCCGTGACAAATCCCTCTTCTACAGCATACCACCGACAGCAACGACATGACAACGGGAGTTTAAATCATGTCTGCTTATGTGCTACACACAGCTTATTTTCAATCCTTTTTTGTCCTTTACTGTAGACAGAACACTGTTTCACAGATGCAATCCTTAATCTTGTACTATAAAAATTGAATTTAAATTTCTTGTAGCACATGGTATGGTTAAAATTCATTACTCTATATTTTTCTCTTGTTTCAGGTGTGAAGCCATGTCCACTTACCCAAGAACATATGACTTCATACACGGTGATTCTGTTTTTAGCCTCTCCCAGAGCAGGTAATGGCCAAATCCAGAGAACTGGTTTTTAGCCTAATGTTTTTCTAATTTTTTTTTTCTTTTCTCAAATTAATCAGTTTTCTAGTCCAATACTGACAACAGATCTTATTATTAATGGTATTATGATGTCACTTCCACCGATAATATGACTACAATAATCTGTATACAAGTTGTTACTAGACCATAGATTCATATTTAGTTATATAAATTCACACTTGATGTAATGGGACTGAGTTAGACCAATCAGGTGTTACATTGATGATTATATGGGGTTGAATTAGGACAAACTCATCTTCTAAAAATCGTTAAATACAAACCAATCCTTATAAACATGATGACCTGTAGTTCTAGTTACCTATGAAAACTAAGAAACACCTTATGTCTCAGCAATGTGACTAACTGGCTATAAGTAAAATTTGTGAAACTCTGGTAATTTGTTAAGCTAATGTGTTACAGATGTGATATGGTGGACATTCTTCTAGAGATGGACCGGGTTTTGAGGCCACAAGGTAGTGTCATTTTGAGAGATGATGTGGATGTGTTGACAAAGGTGAAGAGCATTGCAGATGAAATGCAATGGGATGCCAGAATTACAGACCATGAAGAGGGACCTTATGAGAGACAAAAGATACTGATAGCAGTGAAGGAGTACTGGACAGCCCCTCCTCCAGAGAGAAGCCAACAGAGAAAGCACTAGTTTGATTCTATTTTTCTTTTGACGTCAATTTTCTCAGGAAACAATTCTTTCAAACCCCCATTTTTGTGAGTGGTGCTAGGTGAAATTTTCTTTGCAAAATTATGTCCCCTGGAATGTTGAGGCATTCTTTCTTCAATTTTTAATATAAAGGGAAGGGATGTAAATTGATAGGAACTGGTAATTAGTAAATACCTGCCAATTGTAATGTTTTTCCAAGTTGTCTCAATATGGGCCATGTTGCCATAACATGTGTCTTATCTCCTCAAATGGAATCTGCCATTTTTTAATGTTTGATCACTTAAGTTCCCTCATTCAAAGCTATTAAACGAGTTAATAAATACCATAATTCCCTGACATATCCCTGCCATTAAACATCAGAAAAATACCTTTTATTTGCAAGCACCAGGTCCCATGTCAATGACTGCAATAACTGGATATAACCGGTTAGAAAATGTATCCCAAACCAAAACCTAAAGTTAATGAAGAAAAACAAATAAGTGCCATCAACTATGCCTTTGTCAATTTTCAAATTAACAAGTCTTTTGCACTACGTGGTGTATGATGAACCGAAGACAAGATAATCGATTTTGGAATAATAGAGAATTGAGAATTGATTATCTTCTCTCATGTTTGGAAAGAATCGATTATCTTTTTATATAACTTACAAGAATCGATTCTTCTCTTTCCGAAAGCATTATCTTCTATGGCAAATAGTTGCACCATTGACAGAATCATGGCACAGTAAGATAATACAAAGGTGCAATCCAGAATTCAATTGGATAGGGAAATAGACACTTACAGGTCTATCAGAACCAGACAGCTTCATGAAATCCATCATTATCAACGCACAGAAAAGTTCCTATCAAGATAACAAAATGACAAATAATATATATAATTTTATTATAATGTCAAGAAATTAAATTATATTTTAAAAAATAACATATAGAGATTTATTTAAAATAAAAATGTTTTAAAATAGTTAAAAAGTATATAAAAAGACATTAAAAAAATAGTTTGAAGCAAATCTTCTTCTAAAAGTCAACATTTGAACTTTCCATTACAGACCATGCGTCCCGTTGCTGCTAATTCCCCATAATAAAAACGTATTCACATCATTCCATTTGAAGAATAAATTAAGCAAAACACTAGAAGCATAAGATATCCTAACCAGCATCAATCAATGTTGAAAAGATGGAATGAATTTTATTCACTACTTGATCCATAATCATCCTCAATTTCAATTTTCCATTCAATAAGTGTTAATTCAAGTTAAGTTCACATGAGTAGGTGTTATATTATGGTTTGTGAACCACATCAGCCCATATGACTTATGACCGTGCATTGTTGTTTTGAATTCATGAAAAGTGATTTATCTCTTCTTTCACTCCCTATGCTTCAACCGAATAAATTGAAGAAATAAAGAGAAAAGGATTCACACATTTAATTGTACCAATCTCAGACCAAAATATCAGAAACCAACATTTTCACTGTATTATAAACGAATGATGAACGTAGAAACTATCAAATGATCATGTATGTTTGTCCAATGGCCAATTATTTCATTTCAGAGAGTACAACTTGACAAGTAATGAGTAGAGATCTGCATAGACAAAAAGAAGCCCTCCCATTGTCTTCAATGAATGTTCAGTTGTCTTTTTGGTCCATTCCAAATGCAAAGCTTCACGATTGCGAAGGCCTTGTTCTTCGAATGTTGATGAATATGTTCCTTTATGTAAACACAACGTGGGAATTGCGCTACCTGTTAAAATATTGGAGTTATGGTGGATCATTTTAATCATAGTTCTGTTTAATACTACAAAAAATCATGTAACTGATAGAAATCCAATGCTAAAAAAGAAAAACTGAATAGCACTTTTTAAGTATTCTGGCAAGCATGAAGTCGATTTAACCTCTTAACGAAAAATTATGGTAATATTGACAGAAACTACACAGCACCTTTAGTCACACCATTGACAGAAATCATGGGAATAGGGAAAGAGAAAATCACAAATTTGTAGGTTCTTTCTTTTGCAGGCATTTTCACCAATTTCAGCAATCACGAGCCGCACAACAAAGTAATGCTTTTAAAAACAAAGTAGAGCAAACACTGTTCCAAAGCAATAAAAAAGCCATATTATAAAAAGTTGGAGACAAGAAGACACATGACAAGAAGAAGGAGATATCGGTGCTTTGAAGAACTATTTTTTTTAGTGGAGAAAGGATTAATTGTGAGTTATTGACCATTCAATCATACATACAAGAGAAGAGTTCAAGTCATGCAACTTTAAAAGATTGTAATGTAGAAATTCCATAAATGATCCAATAGTTAATTACTCTTCATATTCATATCAACCGACAGAAGAAACAAATATCATATCACAAATAAGAACATGAACAAAGCCAACAGCTCAGAAACTTCTCAACAAATGTATTACCTGCTCTTAAACTCCTCTTCTTCACCAACTGGTGGTGACCCTAGATCGTCAGCGACCTGCACAAAATCATGACAGGCAAAACTTTGATTACACAGCAATCACAGGCAACAATATCAAAACCTATTGTTGTTTCAGCTACCAAGTGTCAGTTAATAATTGTGACATAAAAGTGAGCAGAGTTATTGAATTGTACAAATAAAATGAATATTCAAAAACCTCTAAGGGCAACATTTCTTATTTTTATAACATAATAACCATGCATCTTGGATATGTATATGAAAAATATGGTGGAGCTTACAAAATACATACCTCTAATTGGTTTATGCTAGTGTTGGTTTTCTTCCTCTTGTCTACTAAATCATGAATTTCAGGATCTTCCTCTTTCTCCTCTACCACAATTTCAAATGCTGATTTCTCTCTCTCTGCCGTCTAAATTTAACACAGCTAAAAGATTCAGAAAGATTGGAAAAGGAGAAATTGAATTGCACAAATATAATGAATGTTCAAAAACCTCTAGTTCATTAAATAGGTAACAAGTAGTTACACAAGAAAAAAGGACAATAATACATCAGACCAAATTGATAATGCTTCTAGTTCAGCAGAACTCCCTTACCTAGATGCATTAACTTGTTTTCATCCCTTTTCCAACCTTAATCAAGTTCTGTTCACACACGAGTATAATCCCCTTTAACTACCCATTACCTTTCTCTTACACTACAACAGCAAAAAGACCTTACAGCAGCAATATTTCCTTCCAAAGGATGTACATAAAACAAAGGTGCAGATTGCTGATATACAGCAGCAAATTGCCAGAGTGTTGATTTACACGACAAAGCACTGATGCAGAGTGATGATATCATTCTGTTATTCTTTAATTCGTAGCCGCATCCGAAAAGAAACCCAGCACTGCTACATGATAGTCTTAAAAACTCCTTTAAACAAACAAACTTTAGATATGTAGATCATGCATGCATGCACGTAACAGGATTTAGAAAAGGAAAACGTAGCATTTTGAACTTTGTTAATTTTCCATGCCCATGCTCTCAGATGTGCCAATCAAAAATTTTCTCAGCATCCACCTTTTCATTCCTATATAGAATGGCTCAATATATCCACACCACAGCCACCCACATGCACCTCCATTACTTCTTTTACTACCCATGCATCTTTGTATATGTATATATGTATGAAAAGTATGATCGGGCTTACAAAATACACACCTCTAGTTGGTTTCTGCTAATGTTGGTTAACTTTCTCTTGTGTAATAAATCCTGAACTCCATGCTCTTCCTCTTGTACTGGAATCTTACGTACTGCTTGCTCTTTTTCTGCCGTCTAAATTCAACCCAGCTAAAAGAATCAGAAAGATTGGAAAAGAAGAAATTGAATTGTACAAATATAACGAACATTCAAAAACCTCAATGGAAAATGCAATTGCACGGGCCAGATCGCTATCTTCATCCTGAAACAATGTTTTATTGAAAACAGCGGGAAGTTTAGGAAGTATATAGAAATAAAATTAAAAATAATATGGAGAGTTTCAATCTATGAGTATACATTGCAATCAATTTCCTCCCATGATGAACATCCTTGCCACTCCTTTTTTGAGGCCTCTATTGCTGCTTTAAGCATTTCTTCCTCTATTTCATCATTTCCCAATCCTGATTGGGCATGCGGTTCAAATTTAGCAACTTTCTTTACTTCTTCTTGATGTGAACTTTGAGGTGGTGGGGATTCAAAAGATTTAGGCATCCAACGATCAGATGAATCCTGAAATAATGTTTCATTGAAAGCAAGAGGAATTTTATAAAACATGTAAAATAGAAGTAATAAACATAATGGTAAGGTTCTTGCTATGAGTATACAATGAATACATCATTTTTCGCTTCTAAAGAAGAACACTCTCCCCATTCCCTTTTTGAGGCCTCTATCTCTGATTGATTACAGGCAGCAGATTGTGGACTAACTGCAACATTTTTCTCTTTACCGGATAATCTGGACACAGATTCTTAGAACATGTTTAGTACAATTTCAACTTAAAGATTTCAATTTTTCAAAGAAAAGCATCAAGATTAAAGAAAATAAAAGAAACTCTATGAACCATGTTGTCATACTTTTTCTCTTCAAGAAAATAGGCATTCATAGCGTCATTGATGTTGCCCTTGTATTCCTGCATACTAATTAAGCAAAAAGTAAGAAAATATAAAAAATGCACACCATTTTCACGTATTATGCAGAGTGGGTGGACCTCTAATTTCTGGACGGCGACAGACTCCGGTGCTCCGGTGATGCTGATGAAGTTTGCGACGTCGTCCGGCGTGGCCATGGATCCTTCTGTCTCCGGTAACTTAGTGCTTGTGCAGAGAAGTTTGTTGTCTTATTCTGTTATTCTCATGAGTTCGGAATTTTATACATCATCTTTGTGATGGGACCCAACGTTTAACTGAATCCTAACTGCTAACGCTCTGTAGTTTCAACTTGAAAAAAAAGAAAAACTAAAAAATTCAGGTTTTGTTTTGTTTTTTCATGTCATGATTGTTTCTAGTTAATTTCTAAGGTTTGTTTGTAACTAACTGCTTTGGGTTTTTATGAAACAAAATTCATTAAATTTCTACAGTTTCATTAGTATCTTACAATGATTATGTTTTTTATACGTTAGACAACTATTCCTTGATCAAGAGAAAACTTGTTAGATAGTTTCTTCCAAATAGTGACACTGTTTTTTCAATTTTTTCGAGGGTTTAATTTATTATCTGTATGTATTTTAAGGTAGGTTTAATTAAAAATTTACTTTTTGTTTTCTTTTGTAGGATCATTTAGTGACTAAGGATGAGAATATAAAGTTTTAATTTTTATTTTTTTTAAATTACAATCTAACACTTAGTAATTTTTATTTTTTTTACTTTTCTTTTTGCTTCATGCCACTGATAAGAAGTAATGATAATGCGACTTGTACAAGTTTTATATTCAGGTAAATGTTTTAAACTAACAGATATTATTATTACATACAACAAATTTCGTAAAGTTTATTTTTCAGTACTTTTTATTTATCAATAGAAAATAAAACATAAAAACTGAGAATCGTAGATAATTATTTGTTACTACTAATTTATCTTTTAACTTCACCATAGTCGGAAACTTGTGTAAAGAGCCCAGGACCAATTTTTACTTTCAGGAATAGAAAATTAAAAAAAAATAGTAAAAATAATTAGTTTAATATTACACATAATACTAAAATACTTCAAAATATCATATTCAATAAGTATTTCATCTTTGAAAAACCAGATAGTATTTAATCTTTAAAAAACCATGATAGTTTTTATGAATATATACGACAATACTCCATGATTGTATAATCAAATATTTTTATTTGTATATAATAACACTCAATACACATTATTTTATATTAATAACATATATTTTAATTTTCTAAGCATATTAAATATATTAAAGAAATTATCTTATATTTTTAATTTTATCATTTGTAAGTTTTTAAAACAAAGAAATTTTGCTTAAGCGAAAATCACCTTCTTCTCTATACCACTTTCATTTGAGAAAATTTTGTTTTGCTTAAGTGAAAAATTATTTGTTTGAAATAAACTACAACATAAATAAGTTTCATGCTATTAGAAGTTTTTCACTTTGTTTAAGTAAAAAAAAAAAAGGTTAAAAAAAGCAAGTCTTTTACACCTTTAAAATCTATCTTTTCTTTAGTGAATATACTCATGAGAGAAATTTTCGTCTCTACTACACATTTCTATTATACGAAATATGCATATAGCAAACATGCATAACTCATGTCAAAATAATTTGTAAGTATTAAACACAATTCTATTAAACTTTATTATACAATTTTCTTGTAAAACATGTCATACTTAATCTAAGTATAGTTATTTTATTCTAACATTCCACATACATTCTGTCACACATCATTATTCTAAATCAATTCATTCAATCATAGTGTATAATACAATATCAACCATCAAATTCACAATCAAAACCTTATGAATCAAACAATATAATCAAGTCACCATCATAATTCAAATCTTCTAATCCATAATATAATGAAAATTAAAGAATAAATAACTTTCCTAGCCATAATAGTGTCTTCAAACTTGAAAGCCCAAAATTCTTAAATTCTTGGAAGTTAGATTCTGATTATAGAAAATCTCAATTAACAAATTGAGTATAATACAATGTTCCTAAAGTACTTAAAATTTATCTTTACCCCATAAAACTCACATACAAGAGTCTTAGACCCACAAGTAAACCCTAGTCCTAACTTGCAAAATTAGTCTAAAATTAGGCAAAGAAAAAAATTACTTTATTTAAAATTTTGATGAAGTAGAAATGTTTCTCTCGTCGACAGGAGTCGACAGGAGCACGTAGACATGCTTGATTCTATACAAAATATATAAGAATTAAGTAAGGATTTTTTTTAGAGAAAAGTCAAAGAATTTAGGAATTAAAGAGATTGTAATTTTTTAGAAATAAATTTGGAACGTAAATTTTTTTATTTAAACCATTTTGATCTTAAATGCGGAGAATTCAAACTTTACTTAATCATATTTTTTTTAACTACTAAAATCTCAATCTTATTATAATTAGTATCTTCTAAAACAAAATTACATTAAAAAAAATTCTAAGTAAGACATTTCTATTGGAACAACTTACACGAGTTATTTATCATATTAAAACAAGTAAAATATCAATTTAAGATGTTACATCATTAAGTAATTCATTAATAACTTTACACTATTATAATTTTTCTTAATAAATTTTAAAAAACTCATTCTATGTTCTATTCTATTTTCCCATTTATTTTGTTTTATTTATTTTTACATAATAAATTTTAAAAAAGTATTCTCTATTTTATTCTATTTTCCCATTTATTTTATTTATTTATTTTTATAAGTAATTTGACGAAATAAATATCAAATAATTTAAGTAATTTATCAAATAATATAAGATTTCTCTAATAAAATATTAATTCAAACAATTAATACTTTACTTGAATATCTTACTAAAAATGCTCTAAGACATGATTGTCTATTAACCTTCTTATATATTCACAAAGTAATTAGTCTTATAAACAATTTACCCAATTAATTGTGATAAATGTATAATAAGAGTAATGTTTCATTTTTTATTATAATAAATATAATTTGGATATTCTCTTTGAGGAGAAACTTTCAAGAATTGTTACTTAAATTTTTTAGCATATTTTTAAAAATTTAAATAATTTTTTCAAATGATTAATTTTGAAATAGAAACATAACATTCATTTATCTACGAAAAATTTAATACGTAATTTACTTTTGAAACATTTCAATTTAAAATTGAAACAATTACAAAATAATCAAATATAGAATTAATTATATGAAAAGTTTATTTACTTATGAAAACAATCAGATGTCAATTAAATGTTTTATTAATGTCATTTGAAAATTTAATTTATTATGGAATATTCATCTAAATATATTTACAATAGAATTCTCATAATTAACACTTTTTTATTCCAAATCTATTGATTATAGTGATTTATTGATTTTGGTAAATATAATTTATATTGTATTTTTAGGGGAACATATCATAAAGTTTCATTAATTGTAACTTATATTCTTTTTAAGGTTCTTTAAAGTAAAAAACAAAAGTGTATAATATATATATATATATATATATATATATATATATATATATATGAGAGAGAGAGAGAGAGAGAGAGAGAGAGAGAGAGAGAGATTTGATAATTTGGGAAGGGAAAAAAAAACGATAGAAGCCAACTAAGTCACAAAGTTTACATTTTCCTTTTTCTTTTTTATCTCGCCTCAAAAGGAGCTATAGGTCCAAATACAAAACTACAGATCCAGATGCTCAAATGAGAATAGTACTAAATCAACTCCAGAAACAAAGCTTCATTATTTTTGCCTAGGCCCACTTCATTGAAGGTTGACGAGCTATCGTTAATACTGTAAGCACGACGCGGGTATGACTTCACCTGTTCAAAATTGGAGCAAGAACAGTGGATTATATATGGTTAATCATGATTAGTGTGATCAAGTTAATTGTCCCCATACTACAAACAATTTAACTGATGGAAAGGTATTACATATGCATACTTAAACCTAAGGTTAAAAATTAATTTTATGATTTACGGTTAGAATGTTTAGTAAGTGTATTCAATGGATGACATAAAATTGACAGGAATATGAAAAATTTAAAAACCAACATGTTCCGATATGTTCATGATGCCACGTTATTGAAATATTATCAAATATACTCTTGGAAGTTGAAACCAGTATAACTAATGACATGCGTCAGGCAACAAAAGTCACTGAGATTCATCTGAAGTTGTTTAGATCATATTCTATCAAGCATGAAGTTCGATAACCTTAAGAAATAATGGTAATAAAACCATTGACTGAAACTAAACTACACCTTTAGTAACAGTAATGACAGAAATCATGCCATAGTGGAACAACATAAAGGTTGAATCCAGAAATCAAGAGACACTCACAAATCTATAGGTTCCAGGCTTCTGTGATCCACATATGTCTATGAAATAAAAAAGAAGCTACAAAAGGTAACCAAATGAAAATTCATTAGCCAAGTATGCATACTTTAACAACAATGTAAAATAGGCTTATTACTTCCTAATAATGTTTATGTCGTACTCCGAATAGCTGTTTCACAAGCTGTTTGATATTTTAAAGGAAAATAACTTGAAAACTGTAGCGAGAAATTATTTTCCTCCAGGGTTCTTGTGAGAGAACATTAATAATTTTAAAATAAACTTAAAAAAAAGTATATGTTAATTTAAATGCAGAAAACTACCAGGAGTTTGGTCTTCTCTGGTATTAAAAATGAATTTCGCTGTAGGAAAAAGGTTCTCTATTCTCCAATCAAGAGAAAAAGAATTGGCCTAAGGGCAATAAATGGAAGTTGGTGCACAAGAGAACAGAGAAAGGGGGAAATGATGGAAATTTAATGAAAGAAGGAAGTGAATAAGTGGAGAAATCTGTTGGAAGTGAAAGTGAATGGCTGAAAATAATGGACAGCTAGCAAGAGGAGCTTCGAGAAAATAACTGTAGAATAACAAGTGTATACTGTCATGTAGTGTTAGGAGGGTATCTGAACATATTTGGTACTGGAGGTGCCACAAGCTTGGGAAGTTTATACCGTCTTGTAGTGTTCTTTCTCTGTTTCAGAGCTCATTCCCTACTTCAGCAGAGATATCTTCCGGCAAGGAGCTGAGCTCCATTCATTTAAGCTGTGTAAAATTCAGAATATAGATTTCATCACATTCTAATACTAATTTTACCTCTAGTTTGTCAGTTTTGAGAAAGCGGCGTTCATGGCGACCCCCATCTGGCATTCGAACAACAATAGTAATTACTTCATCAGACAATTCTGGTTCCTTAGAAAGCTTAAGTTCTTTCTTGTCAAGTGTTTCCACCAATTCCTGCACTCACGAGCCCCACATAATTCAGTAGTGCTTTTAAAAAAAAAGTATGGCACACACTGTACAAAGCAATAAAAATCCACAAGTCATGCACAAAAAAATAATTTTCAAACCGTAAAATCATGAATCTTAGTAACTATAGATCTTGGGAAGCATGATTCCTATATATGACTTAAATCTATTTGGTTTGTCAAATATTCATGGAAATATTTATATAAGTTTCCAGCGAATCAAAGATTACATGATATTTTTACCAAAAATATTAATTATTTACCACATTAAATTATCTAACAAGAGTAACATAATATGGTATTTATGTAGTAGTAAAATTGTTTGACTCAGAAAAATTAGAATTTTAACCACCACTTTGAGAACAATTTTGTGGGAAATGTAGCTAAAAAACCAATCCCGGAAAACATGATTCACGGGGAGAATGTTATGTTTTAAAACATACACTCAATGTGAAAACACGCCCAACATTAGATTCCCAAAAAACTAAAAAATGTCCTTGTAGCAAATATACCCTAAAAGTTAAAACATTAATCTTCAAACACAAAGTACTTGCCTCTAGTCAGTCTAATGATGGATTTGTATTTATATATTAGGACAAGTCAAGCACAAGCACTATATTTTAGTGAATGGAGAAAGATCTATTTTTGAGTTATTGACCATTCAATCTTACATGAATTGATAAAATCAAGAGCTAAAGTCATGCAACCAACCTATAATTAACTTGTAATACTAACCATCCATATATGTTGGAAATAGGAATAGTTTAGGAGATAAGAACTTTTCTAATGCTTATTTTTTCAAGTTACCTAGATACATGGTATAGATAGGTTCAATGCATGCATCATAGGATAATTTCTTCTCTTGTAAATTAATTTGGCATTATCTTTCTAATACTCTTGAATATATAAGTAAATCCATTCTGTTGGTGGAATAATAACAAAAAACATATTCATAAAATATTTGTTTCGCCCTTCTAACAATAGATGAAGGCTTATCCTTCATATTCATATCACAACTAACAGCAGGAACAAATTCAACAAGTCAACAAACTCATAAATTGTATTACCTTTTTTTCAATCATCTTTTTGCTTGGCTCTTCTTGTTTGGAATGGCTTTCAGTTTTATTGAGAGAATCCAATTCCTTTAGTTTATCAGCTCGTAGTGATGCTAGATAGTCAGCATCCTGCACAATATTATGACAAATGATGTACCATGTCATAAACCTAGATCACACAACCATCATAGGCAAGAATCTAAACCTGTTGTTGTTTTAGCAACCGAGAGTCAATTAATGATTGTGACATAGAAGTGGATATGCACTGCGTCTTGGGATCCATATTTTGTTTTGGATGATGTTGCAGATTAGGCAAAGACGAAAAATTTTGAGATCTGTGATTGGAAATTTCACCAAAAAGTGCAGTTTCAACTACCAATGCTTCATTAATCTCTTCTGAAGAAATACCACCCCACTACATTGTGAAACAAGGCAAGAAATTTTTAGGCATAACAGTCAATAGTTTATGGATGAAGGGTGGCAAAACAGATCTACCAGCTTCATTTTGACAATCCTACCTTTGACTTACAAAAACAGGACAGCGTGGCCTGATCCAGTATAGTAAGAATAGGTTACAGACCCATACTCGTCCCGCTCTTTAGCGGGCTGACAAATTATACATTTTTTTAAAATAATTAGTTTGCTACCTGTATAAATTATTTTTTTTAAAAGCTTAATAATAAGATCATTTTTCTATCAACAATATATACATCTCATGTTAATAATATACTTTAGCACGTTAAGTTAAGAAATTGAAACTTCAAACAATCAAGATAAAATTTATATAATAATAAATAACAACAAATGCATATAGATAATGTCAAAACTTGTGAAATCTCTTTTTTTCTAATATGTTGGAAAATTCAAACACCTAAAAACAAAAATTACATAATATTTTTTCATTTGGTAAAACTTCATGTTTACTGGTGACAATGAAGAAAGGTGAGCAATGAAGAGATGAGCAAGAAGGAGAAAAGAGAGGAGCTTGTGTTCAAGAGAGAAGAGTGCTTTTAGTGAGTGAGACTTTTTTATTTTTCTTTTTACAAATTATAATAAAATTCCCCAATATTTTCATCATTTATATATTGTCTATGTAACCGTGCCCCAATCAAAATAATTTCTTTCATTAGTCAGCGGGCCACGGGTTAGTCCACCCGTTCTTGCCCTACCAATTGGCTCAACAAATTGGCGGACTTGGTGGTATGAACTAGAACGGGTTGGCAGACCAACCAAGCCTAATCCGTTATGTCATCTCTATTTTTTTATATATTAATCTTCTTCCTTCTTCCTCTCTAACACTTCTCACTTGGTCAAATATATTTATTTCGTGTCCCAAATTTTGGCTAAGCTTATTGTGGAAATATGTCGTAGTTTTATTAGAAATTATTTGAAGAATCCTGCGGCAATTATTTGGAGTTACCAAGAGGATTTGTTTCCAAAATAAAACAAAATTGATCGTTATGTTATCAAATCTCCATAATATTATTTTCTGGTTTTAACTTGGTTTGGTGTGTAGAGATTTTGTTTCCTTTTATAGCTCCATTTTTTGAGGAACTCAACGTCATCTTCCTCCCTACTTATCCTCATACATTCTATTCAAAAGTATGATAGAATGAAGTTTTCATTCTCTGTTTTTCTACACTTATATATTTATATTCTCCATTCTTTGTTCCAAGAAGTCAGTGAAACTACTCAAAAGTCTCAGCCGAACTTCTCTTGACTCATTTGTAGCCTTTTGACACCTTACTCGACTTTCAACATCCTATCACCCACATAAGCCTTAATACACTCCCTTTTGTTTGCTTCTTTTTCTTGAACACTTTCCTTCCACCACCAAAATTTCTTTTCTCTTTCTCCAAAAACTTTTGGTTAACCCAAAATTGTTCAAGCCTCCTCCCTATCTTTCTTAGATATCTTAACCCCAAATGAAGCTAACACTACCTTGTAATTCTCAATTACCTTCCTCCAATAATTTCTTTTTAAAAGTCAAATGTCACCCTTCAGTTGCCACCACTTTAACTCTGGGTTTGTAACAGTTCAAGTTTTCTGTTTACAGATCTTACAATGGATGCCAAGAATTAAGACCCTATGTCCTTTCATAAAAACTCTCCCTTAGGTTCACTTTTTTATCAAAGCACCTTACCAAAAAGAAAAAAAAATTATGAACATGAGATTCCACTCTTATAATAAGTGATTAGATGTTAATTTTTGAAATTATCAAGGGCAAAATTGAAAAAGAAGTATATATATATATATATATATATATATATATGCAGCTGCAGCATCTCCTAGCTCGGTCATACACTACCTACACAAGCTTATCAAATCAATGTTTTTATGCTAGTAACATTTTCAAAAGAAAAAAAAAACGATCTACCAGACCAAACACCTCTAGTAACTTATTTTCCAAATAAACTAATTGGCATTATAAGCTAGACATATTATCTTGCCGAACATGCAAGCTATCTTTCAAAGTGAAAATGGATTATGTAATTGCACAAGTCCTCCTAAAAAATCCCTTCTTAATTTAACCTGAAATGGTGCAGAAGAAATTTCTCTGCATTTTAAATAATACAGTACTGATTAAAAATACAGAAATGTATATTAGCAAAACTAAGAAGAGAAAGTTGGAGGAGCCAGAGCCAGATTATATAACCCTATAGGCTTTTAAGTAAATATGTTTATGACAATGGCCAAAAAAAGAAAGAAAATAAGACGTAATTGAATTCTTTAACATTGTGAGGACAATAACCCCCTAAATCCTAAATGTGGATTAACCCAATGCAGTCATACATTTCTTCTTTAATACGCATTTATATTGTATATGTATATAAAAAAATATACGGGCTTACAAAATGCACACCTCTAATTTGTTTCCGCAACTGTCGGTTTTCTTTCCCTCGTCTAATAAATCATGAACTCCAAGCCGCCCTTCCGTTTCCTCTTCTACTAGAAGCTCACGTGTGGCGTTCTCATGCTCTGCTGTCTAAATTCAACACGGCCAAGAATCAGAAAGATTGGAAAAGAAGAAATTGAATTGTACAAATATATTGAATATTAAACCTCTAAGGATGACGCAATTGCACGGGCCAAATCATCATCTTCTTGTTGAACAAGAGATTGAGGAAGCCCACCATCAGATGAATGCTGAAACAATGGTTTAGTGAAAGCAGGGAAACTTTAGAAAGCATGTAGAAATAGAAGTAAAAACAATATGGTAAGTTTCACTCTGGGTATACATTGAGAACATCAATTCGCTCCCGTGAAGAACCTCCTCTGCTCTCTATTTTCGAGGCCTCTATAGCTGCCTGAAGCATTGCTTCCTCTATTTCAGTATTAGGAACGTGGGAGGCGTTTGACTGAGCTAAAGGGTATTGGTTCTGATAACCATCTGCTCCACGAATTCCTAAACCATGAGACGATAAATCTTCACCTGTAGTGCTCAATCCTGATTGATAATGCGGCTCAAATACACTATTGATCCATGCAGGAACTTCCCTCACCTCTCCGGGATGGGAAGTAAGAGGTGGAGGGCGATTCGTATATTCAATAGCACCACCAATCCCCTGATATAGATCACTAAGTTCTCTCCTATAATTTGAGTCAACTAAAAGTGAAGGTCGAAATCTTCTAGCAGCACTGAGAAAAGACATAATTCCATTTGATCCACCGCCACGGTGTTGATTAATGCTATTATATTGTGGGGCAGCAGCAATATTTACCCCTTGACCTGATAATCTAGTCAGAGGAATCAAACAAACTCTGAGTAAAAGGCGAATACTAATTCAAAGAAAACTCAGCTACTTAGAGCATGCTTACTATCATTAAAGATTTCAATTTTCAAGAAAGGCAATAGGATGAAAGAAAACAAAAGAAATTCTATAAATCACATTGCCATACATGTGCCTATCGCCTTCAAGAAAATGGGAATTAATAGCTTCATTTAGATTCCCCCCATATTCCTGCAACCAGTTACACAAAAAGTCAAAATAATATAAAGGTTTGCTATTTGATTCTTGAAAATGCACAGCATATCACGAATAATGTAGATATAGTGCATTGCATCCTTACTATGGTCTCTAGCCAAAATTAAACCAATAATTTTAAAGAATCTAAATTTCATTTCTTCTTATTATTCGTAAATGAAAAATGTTCACGACAGCTGTACCAAGCCGGCAATGTTGTGAAATTTTAAAAGTTTTTACAGTAAACTGAGACTAAATTGTACGTTAAACCAACTAAGTTCAATAATTAAGCAGTTTAAAAAAAGTTTAACGATTAAGCATCGTTTCAAGCTTTTCCTCTAAATCTTTGCGTTTATTTTTGTTGGATCGGCGCTTCTTCTAACAGCGCCACACTCTTCGCATTCAGAAAATGAAACATACCGAAAGGAAACAAAAAAAAATTTGAAACAGGAAAAAATGAAGAGTGGGAATGTGTGGAGATGGACCTCTAATTTCTGGACGGCGACGAACTCCGGTGCTCCGGTGATGCGCCTGAAGGCCGCGACGGCGTCCGGCGTGGCCATGGGTGAATGGATCTCTGAAAGAAACCCAAAAGGTGTTGTGCGATTGTTGGGCAGTGAACATACTGTTGTTATAATGCGCGCCACCTTTATACTTCGGTTCAACTCTGTGATGTGACGCAACACTCTTCACTGTTCTCCACTTACCAAGAATCATCTCCATTGGAAAAATAAAATAAAAATCAGCATTTCTATTGTAAAAGTTTCCTACAATATATACTGTATTATTAATAGATTACTTTTGAATTTAATTAAATGAAATGAGATTTTTAAGTTAAATTAAACATCTATCCAATAAAACTTTAACTAAGTGAGCCGTTACTGCAATCTCACTCATAATTTAGGTTCTAGATTGTGTAAAGACAAAAGGAAAATGGAAACAATGTTCAAAATATGAGATAAAGTATACGACATCTTTAAAAAACAAAAAAGTAATATTCGAGTTGTGTTACTTTGAGTGAGTCTTGGTTCTTTCACTATACAACACCATTTGGTCAACATGTTATCATAGGTTTTTGCATGTAATGTAAGGAGGACAAAAAAATTACTATTTACAATAAATAAATAAATAAATAAATAAATAAATATATATATATATATATATATATATATATATATATATATATATATATATATATATATATATAAACAGAAGCATTTACGTAAAAGGGTGAATTTTACCTGGAGAATGTATGTCTAACCCAAAAAAATTAAGAAACCCATTATAATATTTCCTTCTTCTTCTTCTTTTTCACCCCAACTAAAATATTGAAACCTCGTTAACTCTTTATTAGTTGTCTTAATTTGTGATTATAAATTATTAATTGAATCTTTGAAACTCATGAGTTTGTTATCTAAACATATTGGATAAAGATTAATTTTTAACATCCATTCATCCAACACCTGCATTTAATAATATAATAATAATTTTATTTTTATTTTTTTATTAAAGTTTATTAAAATTATTATAATATTAAACTGAGTTGTCGAATAAGAGTTTTCTCTCGGCAATTGTCAATATATAACATCCAAACATATATATTAAACATAATCACATAATAGTATTTCTTAATTACTACTTCTTTCCACATTAAAGAGGCAAGGGAGGGGATGCCATGGATACCATGCCTACCCCAGAAAATTATATAAAATGATTCCCTCATTTCTTGATATTGGCTTTTGACTTTTTTTTACTAAAATAATAATAATATTATTATTATTATATATATATATATATATATATATATATATATATATATATACACGTAATAGAATATGATGAAATTATTTTTTTAATTGAACATCTCATAAAATTATTTATTTATTTAGAACCTCTTTTATTGTTGTACTTACATTTTGGTTTCTCATCATTTGAATTCCAACTTTAAACTTATCATTTTTTTAAATAAAAATTAAATAAAATATATAATTAAAAATAATAAAATTAATATTAAAAATAAAATTTTAATTTTAAAATTTAAATAATATTTATATAAAAAATAATAAAAATAATATATTATTTAAATATATATTAAATTATTTAAATATATTTAAATAATTATTAAAAATATTAAATAATAATTTTTTATTATATTTTTTTATTTTTTTTTATTTTTGAATAGGAAATTTAAAATTTATATATTTTTTTATTATATGAATTATTTAAGTTATAATTTTAGAAAAAAATTGATAAATTTAATATATATAATATTAAAAGTAAAATTAAAAATAAGTTATTAATAGCAAAATAAAAATGATAGAACATGATATTAAAGAAAAATAATAAAGGTAGAAAGATTTTTATAGAGTGAAAATAATAGAGGTTTATGAAGAAGAAACCCCTCCACAAATTTCTCCTCAAATTCAAGAACAACCACACCGACGAAATCCAAAACGTAATAGAAGTTGTCCTCGTTGTGGAACTGGACACCACTTTTGAGATTAAAATTTTCTTAACATTATTGTCAATAATTTTATTTTTCAATTTTTATTATCAATGATTATGTTATTTTTAATATTATACATTAAATCCTGTCAATTTGTATTATTTTTTATTTTTAAGTTTATTTTATACTAATAATAATAATTTTTAACTAATTAAATAATATTTTTACTTAATTATTTAAAAAAAAAAATTTAGCATGAATTTTTTAATATAATATTTATAAATTATCAAATAAAAACTATTACATAAATTTTTATAATATAATATTTAATTTTTTTAATATATTACCTAAATTAAATTTTTATTTATTCTATTTTTTTCTAAAATTATAACTTAAATAATTCATATAATAAAAAATATATAAATTTTAAATTTCCTATTCAAAAATAAAAAAAATATAATAAAAATTATTATTTAATATTTTTAATAATTATTTAAATAATTTAATATATATTTAAATAATATATTATTTTTATTATTTTTTATATTAATATTATTTAAATTTCAAAATTAAAATTTTATTTTTAATATTAATTTTATTATTTTTAATTATATATTTTATTTTAAAAAAAGTGATAAGTTTAAAGTTGGAATTCAGTTTACTGGAATCTAATTTCAAGTACAACAAGTAAAAGATATTCAGTTAAGTAAATAATTTTATGAGATGTTCAGTTAAATAAATAATTTAATTGGAGGTTCTGTTACGTGTATATATAATATAATAATATTATTTTAGTAAAAAAGTTCCTTTTGTTTGCATCTAGATATAATTCACACAAAAACTACATTTATTTATTACCATTAGCTATCTCATGAATTTCAATATATTCCTACAATTCAATTTATATCATTTTTTTACATCATATCATTTCCATTTTATAATATATCTATAAATACGTTCTAAAACAAAATAATTAAGCTAAAAGGAAATGTTTTTTAAAAATTTATTATTGTTTGAGTGTCATATTCTTTAGAGATATTAATAAGAGTTACTCTTAAGCCAAGTTGACTCACCATGTATTTGAGTTGAATTTAGTTGAAATTTTTTTAAATATTTCAATTATAGGTTAAAATAAATTTAACTCATGTAACATATGAATTAAATGGATTCAAGTTAGATTGTTGGTGACTGACCCCTTTATTTTAATTATGTGTTAGTAAAAATCTATAAAAATAGAAATATTTGAGTAAGTCAACACATTTAAAATACTTATTTTAATGAGTCAATCTATCTCATTTATTTATTTTAGTAATTTGAAAAAAAAATATAAGACATATATCTAAATGAGTCAACGTATGAATCTATGGTGGTTAAATCAAATTGTTATCAAATCAATTTCTAACACAATCCGCGGTGAACAAACTTCTGTGATTTGAGTTTACTCACCTTGACATTAGTAAGTAAAATCATTATCACTTAGATAATTAAAGTCTCGTTTAAACAAAAACTTTGCTGTGACCCATTTTTCATTTCTAGAAGTTTATTCCTTAATAAAAAACCAATTGTTATGATTTAGGAGTCTAATATTCTTCATTTTTATGTGTTTTGTTGAAGCAATAAGTTATCGTTCAATAAGTTGTCTTCAAAATGAAACTCTAACTTTTACCTTTTTTTTTCGTTTTGAATAATCAATATGTTACTTAAGTGAAAAAAAATAATGAAAATTTTACAAAATAATAAGTTGACTGAACCTATTTAATTCATTTTCAAATTATTTTTTCATAAATCAATAAAATTATAAATTATAAAAATTAATAATAATTTATTTAAGTAAAAATAAGTTTATAAAATAATATTATTTTTGTATTTTTATTATTTTTTAATTATATATACATAAAAAATAAAACGTGCAAATTAGAATGGAAAGTAACTTTTTTTTTTCACTTTTACGAAACAAGGGAAATACTTCTCATTTTCATGCACTGTTCATTTCTCCCTTACTATTTTTCCTACCCACAATTTAACCTCGAGGCAAACTTGGTTCTCCCAAAGAAAAATTAATATAAGTGTCATATTTATTAGGGTTTTGATCTTATATTTGTATTATTATGAGAAATAATTGGATATTAGGTGGCTATCCTCTTATTTTTTAAATGAAATATTAATTGCCAGTTCATATTTTTTTATTTTCGAAGATGTAATTCGATATATTTTATACACCTTTTAAAAATAAAATTATAATAAATCAAAGTTTTAAAATAGATTATTATTATATTAAAAATAAATAAAAATTAAATTCTTATATTTATAATTTACTTTTAAAATATTTTTGTTTCATCTAATTAAATCACTTATATATTCTTATACTGATAACCTAAACCCTTCGCACATATTTTGCTATAAAGAAATTATATATAATTATTTCAAATATTCATTCTTCTTATTTTAAATTTATCCTATTTTATTTTATTAACACATGAAATTTTATATCAAATTATAATCGTATTTAATTAATATCAAATACAGTAAAATATTCATCACCAATTATTAAAATAGTTATGTATAATTAAAATAAATCTTGTAATGTCATGGCTATGCAACTGCAATAAAATTATTGATTTAAATAAGATCTCTATAAAAAAAATTGTTATGTATTTCATTTTTCAGTTGTCTAAAACTAAATAATGATAATTCACTTTGATATTATATTTTATAGTTTTAAATAAACAATGTTAATATTAATTACTTATTTACGTAAAATATTAATAATAATATTTAATGGTAAGTTTGAATATTATTATCAGGAATATTAATATTTTGTTATAAATAATTAGATAATAGATTATGTTAAATTAAATTTATTTTTTAAATAAAAAATTAAAATTACACATAAATAAAACTGTCAGAATAAGAAAAGTGGATATATTTGTATCGAGATTTTCTTTTATCACACTTTTAAAAAATAATTATTAAAAAAATATCGACTACTGAATATAAAAACTTGCCTAGAAAAAATCACCAAAACGCACGAAACGACGCCGTTGGGTTATGTGATAGTACTACGAAGTAGAACAAGAGCACCGAAAGCGTTACTTAGCGATATCCGTGCATACATAGATTGTGACACAAACAAAGAAGAAACCACTCCTGCGCGACCCACCTTACCCAGTGAACCCCACCTCACCGAAACAAACCCCGCTTCCCGAAAACCCTAACCCTAACCCTAACTCCCGACTGACATGGACGGCGACGACGAGACCTCCGATCCGATGATGGACGAAATCTATGCCAACGGCGGTGGCGACAAAGGAGACAAACGGAGCCGTCGTGCGATCATGAGCGGCGACCAGCTCGACGTCGAGGCGTACGCGGCGCTGTACTCGGGGCGCACGAAGATCATGCGGCTCCTCTTCATCGCCGACAAGATGAAAAACGCGGCGACGCAGCTCGAGGCGCTGCGCATGGCCTACGATGAGATTAAGAAGGGCGAGAACACGCAGCTGTTCAGGGAGGTCGTGCAGAAGATCGATGGAAGGTTGGGACCGAACTATGGCGTGGACACGGCGTGGTGTGATGCCGTGGATCGGAGAGCGGAGCAAAAGAAGGAGAAACTCGAGAATGAACTCAATGCGTATCGGGTTCGTTTTGATAATTTTTTGGTTGAAATTTGAAAATTGTTTTGTTTTTTGTTTTTGCCCTAGACTTTTTGGTTGCATTAGTCAATTTTATTAAAAATAAAATCGCAATTTTTTTCAGCTTATTTAAATATTGGTTATTTATTTTTAGAATTTAGGTGTTCCTAAACTTGTTCTTAGGTTTTGATCGTAGGATGTTTTAAACGCACATGCAATTGAAGATAAATATTGTTTGTGAAGACTAAGGTTTTAAATTGTGGTAGATCCTTGATATTGCGGGAAATTGCTGACAATTGCGGGTGTAATTACGCCAACAAACCTTGATATTGTGATTACTAAAACGTGGTCTTAGACTGCTTTTTTAAAACCTTGTACTGAAGACTGGATAGTTAAGTTTTTTATCTGTTTTGGGTGAATTGCCTTTTTGGTTTCAAATTCTTCTGTTACTGTTGGCTGAAATTTTCGTTTGATTATAACATTTGTTTGTGATGGTGCCTCTGCTGCAAAATGCTGTGTTTTGTACACATTCACTGATCTTTTGAGATTGTGCTGCTTGTGTTTGTAGCTTTTGTCTGGTGATGAGTATATATTTTTCACTCTGCATTTTTTATAGTATGGTGCTTACTTATGAGAGATGAAAAGCTGGGTATTATCTTGTTTACGGTTTGGGGGGGATGATTGTTGTGCACAGTTATGGCTATAGGACAGTACACTCTGCAGCATCTTGTATTTGGTGGTTGTGGTAGGGATTGGATGAAATGTATCCAACATGCATGATTTATAAATTATAATGTGTTTGATTTACTGATTGAATGAATAGAAATGTCCATTTTTACGTTCCAAGACCAAAATTGGAGAAGCAACACCAGTGTCTCAATGAATATAATTTACATTATGTTGAAACAAATTGTTATGCCATTTCTATTTGATGTGGTTTTGAATTCTGAAGAAGCTTTCCACTGGAGCTTTACCTTCTGTTTGTCACGTGAATCTGTTTTTTGTCCGTATAAGTGACATGGTAAAGAAGCTAGATGTACTCCTCCCAAACAAAGGTATTAATGAATAAAAATATGAAGCTAAATTGATGCTAGACAGGTTTTGTAATTTATTTATGTTTACTTGCGATAGCGTTCCCTTGTATGATATTTTTTCATAAGACCTGCTTTTTCCTAACTCACATTTTTGTTCATCTTGAATTTATTTTTGCAGACAAACTTGATTAAAGAAAGCATTAGAATGGGATTCAATGATTTTGGAGACTTTTATTATGCTCATGGTCAATTGGGGGAAGCTTTTAAAAGTTATGTCCGCACCCGGGATTATTGCACCACATCAAAGCACATTCTTCATATGTGTATGAGTGCAATTCTAGTCAGCATTGAGATGGGTCAATTTCCTCATGTTACAAGCTATGTTAGCAAGGCAGAACAGGCACCTGATGCCCTTGAGCCAATACCAATCGCAAAGCTACGATGTGCTGCTGGATTGGCTAATCTAGAGGCCAAAAAATACAAGCTTGCTGCTCGAAAGGTCTGTTCCTTGGCTCTCTATTTCAATCTAGCATGATCTATAAAATCTCTGATTTGAATTTTGAGGATTCAACTACTCATTTATCATTGTTTGATGTTATTAATTTAATTGCTTATAACTCTGTGAACCTCATTTTCATTATTTAATGCAGTTTCTAGAAACAGGACCTGAACTGGGAAGTCATTATAATGATGTAATTGCACCTCAAGATGTTGCAACATATGGAGGACTTTGTGCACTAGCAACATTTGATCGGGCAGAGTTAAAGGCAAGTACTCCATTGTATTATTATGCCGATTCTTCTTATCAATGACTGCTCTGAGCACAATGAGAGGACAATGTCTTTATTTATTTATTTTTTTTTTTTCAATATTTGGCAGAGCAAAGTTATAGACAATTCCAACTTTCGCAATTTCTTAGAGCTAGTACCTGAAGTAAGGGAACTGATAAATGATTTTTACTCAAGGTAAGTTGGTTCTTGTGTTCTTTTTTTCTTTGTTGTTCTACTATGTCGTGTATTTGGGAATAGTGACTAGACATCACTTTTTTTTTCTTTAACTGAATTAAAATCAAATTACAAAAAAACACTCTTAGGGTAGGGGTACATGAAGGTCTTCATTTGTGGTGCTAAGCTGACCTGAAAAAATAAAAAACTAGAATTTTTAAAATGTTGGACTGGAAGGTTTTGATGTTGTGTATAACATCAGTTTGTTAGACAGTTAGACGGTAATTGATTGTTCTGAGGTTATCTACCTGTTGTATTGCTTATTGATGCAGTTAAACCCTTTTCTTGGCGGAGTTGGTAAGAGTTCAAGCGATATTCTTGGTTGTTATCCTTTAGAGTTGTATTCTGCAAATTAAAATATTGTATTTTAAGGATTCAATTTTAATGTCTTTTGAACGTAATCAATTTTTTTAATTTCAACTATTTAGAAATCATCTTAGGTATATGACCGCAGTTTATAAATTTATCATTGACAACAATATGTGATTATTGTCTTCCGAGTGTCTGTGCATTCTAATTAATTTTCATTTTTAATATTGTTGAATTGGTGAAAACTGAAAAGGGAGGGGAGCTTGCTACATGATTACACCTTTCAATGTTTATTTTACTCTTAATTGTCTTGCTTGAAATATTATATATATAGAGAGAAGAGATCCACTTACTCCAAGAGTAAGAGTTGGAGATTTACTTTTTATCTTCACCTATTTTTTTAATTTAATGGTTAACATAGGTTATTATCTTAGGCCATTAGATTATCAAATAATGAATGGTAAGGATGAAAAAGTAAGTTTTTAACTCTTACGCCCTTCATATATAAACACACACACACACACACACACATATATATATATATATATATATATATATATATATTGCTCAAATTGTTTCTTTACATGGGTTTACTTTCCTGTTTTCACATTTCTTTTCTGTGGCTCTGTGGAAATGTATTTGTCTTGATCTCTTTGCGTCCTTTTATATCAGCCACTACGCATCATGTTTGGAATATCTCGGGAACCTCAAAGCAAACCTATTACTTGATATACATTTGCATGACCATGTTGAGACACTTTATGATCAAATTCGTCACAAAGCCCTTATCCAGTACACACACCCATTTGTGTCTGTTGACTTGAACATGATGGCTAATGCATTCAAGACAACTGTTGCTGGACTTGAGAAGGAGCTAGAAGCATTGATCACTGATAATCAAATACAGGTCTGGTTTGACTTAATTTGCCTCGATTGGGTTCAAAAATCTACTTGCTTCCAAGATGATTCTATTTTTCTTTATACTTTCAACATACTAGGGTCGACCTAGTGGTGGGGGATCACAAGGTTCTGTGTTCCAATTTTTGTATATCTTCACAATACAACAGTCTATAGGGGATTTAAACAGTTTTTGTTGGTGGAACCTTTTGCAGGCACGAATTGATTCACACAACAAAATTTTGTATGCACGGCATGCGGATCAAAGGAATGCCACCTTTCAAAGGGTTCTGGAAACTGGAAGGGAATTTGATCGTGATGTTCGTTCCATGTTACTGAGATCAAATCTTATCAAGCATGAGTACAATATTAGAGCATTAAGGAAACTTTGATTGTGGACCGATGATAATGGGACGAATATTTTCTATATCATCGGGCACAGGCATTGATCAACTATGATGAAACAAGTTTCTGGAGTAGAAAGATTGCCTTACCTCGTGGTGGATTCAATCAAGGTGTACGTTTGTGCAAACATTTAACGGCATATTATAGTTTCTTTTTGTATATACTCTTCCATAATTTCAATTATTAAGATGTTCATTTCCTGTTTTTAATCCGCATCATTTTTAAGTAAGATAGTCTTAAATGGTTCAAAAACATTCTCATGACCAGTTAACTCAACTCCTTTAGCTGCCTATTTTGGAACTACTATCCAATGTTTTATGGAAATTGAAGGAAGCAGTCATCATCGGTCTTTATACCCAATAGATAGTGAAATCTGATTGATGTGGATGAAGTGTGTATGGCATGGTTTTTGGGTTGGTGCAAATAATTGCATATAGGCTTTTGTTTCGTAATAGGGGTATGTTATTTTATTACTTGTTATTCTTTTCACTAATAATTGAGTTTGGAGGAGTGATATCCTGACAATTGATTTGTAACGGACATCTTAATGAGAACATTATAATATACTCATGTGAGCGCAATCATCAAAAATAATTATTATAATACTTAAACAGTTTTTTAGCAGACCTTTCATGAAAAATAGGTTGTCTATGCAGTATTTTTCTTGAGTTTAATGGTAATGTTGAGTGTAATGACTCCTAAATTATAGGTATATTTATTCTTGTTTTTTCTCCAATGTGTGGTATAGCTTTATACACAGTAATTTTTTTGTTTTTTAAGTAAGTAATATTGGCTCCTAAAAGGATATATAATTCTTTTATTATAAAACGTATTTTCTCTAATTACACTAAAATAAGTTTATGTAGTTACTGCTAAGCATTTATGGTGGAATGTTTTATCAATTACAATTTATGCCATTATTGTGGTTTTGTGTATGTATTGCCTATGAAATTGAAACTTAGAATTAAATATGGGAATCATAATTATGATTGGTTATGAAATTGAAATTTAGAATTGAACATTTTAATCATAATTACGATGTTAAAAAAGTTTTTTAGAATTGAAAGCACAACCTCAATATATAATTTTTTTCACGGACTTCTAGTATAAAGGATCAACTTTGACATTTTAGCGAACAACTACTGAGACTCGCATCTAAAATAGAAATATAAACTGCTTGACATTTCTCAATCGTAAATTACTATTCTTTGAATCACGTTTTTAACTCCACTTTACATTATACATTTGTTCTCCTAAATAGATATCTGGTTCCAAACTTAAGATCAGGTGGGAGAAAAAAAAACAGAAAAAACAAAATTCTAAACTATTTATGTGCTTCGATTTTACACTCGATTATGTTTACGATGATATTAAATGTTTACATTACATTACAACCGTATCTTGCTCATGTCCTCCTGATTTGCAGCATTTTTATACTAATCTGAAGCACATGCTGTTCCAGGTTCCGAAGCAGGCATTTACTTAAGCTTGAAGAAACCCTCCCACATTTCATGTCTCTCATCTTCAACAAAATCTTCGCTTCTCTCATTACACCTACTAAATTTAGATTTGTTTGCTTTATTTATCAGTTATTCCTATTCATGTTTAAACTCCCCCACTTTCTCAATTAAAAATTCTTTTATACTTAAAATTGTTAACTATTTATTTGTTTAAATTTATAAACAATCTTACATCACAATTTTAAATTTTTTACCATTAATTTAATTATGTAAACAAATTATAATTTAATTATGTTTCCAGTGTTTAAGATTTGGACTAATTTTGATTTTTTAATTCTTAAAATTTAAAAAAGCTTTTTCTAGTTACTTAAATTTGACAAAAAAAATCTCTTAATTATTTAAATTAGATCACACTCTAATTATTTTAGAAGTCTTTTTAGATTTTATAATTTTAAATGATAATAAAGTGTGTAGAGGGAGTATATGGAAGATATGGCCTGTTATCATTTTGCTTGCAGTGAGATCCACATCGCACATTGCCGACCGGTGAAAGAGTGATTTTTGAGGGTGATAAGAAGTATTCACACTGAATCTCACACACTTCATCTTCCAATATACCCTTCTTCACTCTCATCAAACACAACCTCATTTGCATCAACACACTTCCCTCGTTCTCGGTTGCATTCATCAATAAGCCCAACCCCAGATGCCGTTTTGATCCAATCCAATTCGGTTTCCGATGGGTCACGTGAACCTTCCGGCCTCCAAGCGCGCGGGCGGCCCGCGCCAGTGGCGCCTCCTCGACCTCGTCACCGCGGCGTTCTTCGGCCTCGTCTTCCTCTTCTTTGTCCTCGTCTTCACGTCCATGGGGGACTCCCTCGCCGCCTCCGGCCGCCAGACGCTGCTCCGATCTGCCTCCGACCCGCACCAGCGCCTCCGCGTGTCGGCCGCCATCGAGGCCGGGCAGCCGCGCGTGATCGAGGCGTGCTCCGCCGACACCGCCGACCACATGCCGTGCGAGGATCCGAGGTTAAACAGCCAGCTGAGTAGGGAGATGAATTACTACCGAGAGAGGCATTGCCCGCCGCTGGGGAACACGCAGCTCTGCCTCGTCCCGCCGCCTCACGGGTACAAGGTGTCGGTGCAGTGGCCGGAGAGCTTGCACAAGGTATGTACAGTGTTCTTAATCATGAGAAAGTGATGCAAAGTTGGCGAATGGTGTTTATTTGATGATTACAACTGTGATAAAAAATTTTGATAAAATAGGTAGTTTGTTGATTTTTTCACTAACTACTTAAGATGTTAATTCTGATTGAATGATATTGTAAAACAGGTGTATAGTGTCGCTATATAACAATTGGACTGAGATTTTTACATTGTTAACTAATTAGAAATTACTCTAGATGACTTACCAATATGAGTTGATATAGTTGGCAGATTTAAACATTTGGAGTATTTATTCCTAGGTTTGCGTTATTGAAAAAAATAGAAGTTTGTTTAGAGAAAATTCTTAAATGAATTTCACCACCATAAGAGATTAGTGCATGTATGGATGTCAGCCATTGGAGTTCTAAAGTATTTTTACTCTTTAAGCTTTTGAATCTTTTTCTTCTTCATTTTGTATCTTGGATTTGGGGAATGTGCATTGAAAATTTCCGAAGTATGTTTCTAACTTTTACCCAAGCATGGATTTAGTCTTTAACTCTTGATTGAAAGATATCTCGAGCATAAAAAAAATTATAGAGTGAATGATACAAGAGATAACAATCTTAGGAGAATGGTATTATAAAAATAAAAAACTTTGCATTATAATAAGTACATTGTAATTAAAATAATATATTAAGTAGAATAATGAGGAATAAAAAGGAAATTTCTAATCGAAAGTTCCTATATATTTTAGGGCAGCCAATAGAAGGACAATTTTTCACTCATGGTGCTTTGCGCTGGTTCTACCAAGGGTGCTATCATGTTAGTTTTTAAACTGATTAATTTGACGTTCTAGCATGTGATTGATTCGGGTTTAACTGGTTAGCATTTAAGTTTGTAAGGTTTTGGTGTTTGAGCAAGGCCTTTTAAAAGCAATCATGTCTTCTCTGTAGATATGGCACAGCAATATGCCATACAACAAGATTGCTGACAGGAAAGGTCACCAGGGATGGATGAAGCTTGAAGGTCCACACTTTATATTCCCTGGAGGTGGCACAATGTTTCCAGATGGAGCAGAGCAATATATTGAAAAGCTTGGTCAATACATTCCAATGCGTGGCGGTGTTCTGAGGACTGCTCTTGATATGGGATGTGGGGTAGGATCTATTTTACTGTTTCCTTGAGACCTTTTATCACTAGAATTTGTTGTTGTTTAGGATGAAAATATCTCTCATGTTTTACAGGTTGCCAGTTTTGGAGGATATTTACTAGCTCAAAACATATTAACCATGTCTTTTGCTCCAAGAGATTCACACAAATCGCAGATACAATTTGCACTTGAAAGAGGAATACCAGCTTTTGTTGCCATGCTTGGTACTCGCAGGCTCCCATTTCCTGCATTTGGCTTTGACTTAGTCCATTGTTCTCGGTGTTTAATCCCTTTTACAGCCTACAGTAAGTTCATTATCGCAGCTGACCTTTGCATATCTTGCAATCTTCTAAATAGACATCACTGCCCTAATGCAGAAACCCTGCCTTGCAGATGCAACTTATTTCATTGAAGTGGACAGATTACTTCGCCCTGGTGGATATTTAGTCATTTCTGGTCCCCCTGTTCAGTGGCCTAAGCAAGACAAAGAATGGTCAGATCTCCAGGCTGTGGCAAGAGCTTTGTGTTATGAACTGATTGCTGTAGATGGTAACACTGTGATATGGAAAAAGCCAGCAGTGGACATGTGTCTCCCCAACCAAAATGAATTTGGTCTGGCCTTGTGTGATGATTCAGATGACCCAAGTTCAGCATGGTAATTTCCAGTAGGCTATTGCTAGTTAATTTTCCCCCCCAACAATCTTTACTTCACGTTGTTCAACATTGATTATGTGAACGTCGGTTGTTTATGCTGCCTACACATTTCTGTTTCATAGGGACATGGTAATAATGGCACTCAGCACAACAGAATGCTATTATTGTTATTTTTTTATGAACTTCGCGTAGTGTTTAATTGAGATTCCACGACTAAGATGATTTATTTTGCAGGTACTACAAATTGAAGAAATGTGTCACTAGGTTGTCTTCTGTCAAAGGTGAATATACTGTTGGTACAATTCCCAAATGGCCAGAAAGGCTCAACGCTCCTCCAGGAAGGTCCACAATCCTGAAAAATGGTGCTGATGTATATGAGGCAGACACTAAGCGATGGGTAAGAAGAGTTGCACACTATAAGAATTCTCTAAAAATAAAGTTGGGGACTCCAGCAATACGCAATGTCATGGACATGAATGCATTTTTTGGGGGATTTGCGGCAGCACTGATTTCTGATCCTGTGTGGGTAATGAATGTTGTTCCATCTCAAAAGTCACCAACACTTGATGCAATATTTGATAGAGGCCTTATTGGAGTCTATCATGATTGGTGAGTTTTTATATGCATGGTTCATGTATTTCGCTTAAAAGGACGTTTTGTTTTATCTTGACTTTTAGAGAATTCTCTTTAAAAAAAGTGGTGAGAATTTGCTAGTTTTCGTTATAAAAATGAAAACTGAAGTAATTCACCTCTTATTTTAGACTGTTAATTAGGATCCTTCTTTGGGGTAAAACCTATGTTTCAGCGCACTTTGAACATGTACTAATGTTTGGAATATTCAAATATTTGAAATTTGAGTTATTTGGTCAATGCTCCCAGGTGTGAACCTTTCTCAACATATCCTCGCACCTATGATCTGATCCATGCAACAAGCATTGAATCACTTATAAAGGATCCTGCCTCTGGCAAAAACAGGTATTTTCCTTCTATTAATTTATTTCAGATACTAACAAACACAAAATGAGTACTTCTCATACTGTATCATCCTTGCAGACACAACGGTTTACCTAAGTAATGAACTCACCCTGGTTACTTAATGATATCATTGCAGATGTAACCTTGTTGATTTGATGGTCGAATTGGATCGAATTTTACGCCCAGAAGGAACTGTTGTGATGAGGGATACCCCTGAAGTAATTGAAAGAGTAGCTCGTGTCGCACGTGCAGTGAGGTGGAATCCCACCATATATAATAAAGAACCTGAATCACACGGCAGGGAGAAAATTCTAGTCGCAACTAAGACCTTCTGGAAGCTCTAACTCTCATCCCCACTAACGTAGCTGTGTAATTTAGATAAAATTTCCTTCTCACTGTTTTGGGGGATGATGAGGTTTTCAAGGCTATCTTCTCTGTGCATCGAAGGGATGCGGTTTCCTTTCCTGTTCAGTGTTTATATAAAGAGAGTGTAAGATTAGGATCTGAGAAAACGAAAAGATGTGAGGATTTTGTGCAGTTTTATATGAAAAGCACAAGCTAGTGTTATATTTTCTCTATAGCCACAAGTATCACTTGTAATTCAGTACTTCTATTTATCATTGTTTATTTATTGAAAACATCCATCACTGATCTAATTCGCCATTTCACTTTTGTTCCAATATGAACCATGTCTATGAATACTTCTTCCCTGATCTTGGTTCCATCTAACTATATACCATTGGTCAGGACCGATCTGTAACTCCACTGTAACAAATGCACGACGGATATTTCAATTTGTGGTTCGTTCTGCATAAAAGAAAAATATTTTTAAATAGTAAAATTATTAAGTTATCCACTAATTTCCATCTCGATTTGTCTTTTTTCATTGTCCCCATATAATTATTATTTATTAATTTTGGATTATCATCAGTGATATATTTTTGTTTTAATTTTTTAATTTGATTTAAAATTAATTATGATTAAAAAATGGATATACCTACTTAAATCATACATTTGGTTATTTCAAAATATTCAAAAAAATACGAATATAAGTAAAAAAAATACGAAACTAAGAACTATACTCATTAAATAAAAAAATTTAAAATAAAATATTTAATTGAAATTTATAAAAATTAATTTGTTTTTAATTATTATTAAATTTTATTTTAATTTTTATAAATTAAAATTTTAAAATATATATATTATAAATAATGAAGTCACAATTTAATATGCCGATAAGAATATTTTTTAATTATTATACAATTATCTGCAAATCTTATTTGAATCAACCTAACCTATCTTGTTTAAGTGTTATGGAGAATTATAGGTTTACAATTATGCGAGACAGAATTTACAAATCTTATAGGAATTATTCCCATTTTTTTTTGTAACTTAACTACAAAAAGACAAAAAATAGAGCTCAGTAGAAGAATGTATCATCCATATTGAAGAGATGAACACCGACTGACCCATCAATCAGGTAACATTTCACATCACAGCTCTCACAATGCACCAGCCGGGAATCGAACCCGGGTCTGTACCGTGGCAGGGTACTATTCTACCACTAGACCACTGGTGCTGGTTGGTGTGGTATAACTAACTTAAAGTTTTAACAGAAAATGAAAAACTAAACTAAAGAAAAGAAAAGAATAGAAAAGGAAAATGCTACGGAAAAAAAGAAATTATACCTTGTTGAATCAACAAGGCTTCAAGAAGGAGCACAAGATAAACTGAGACTCTTAGCTAGCGCAATAAAAGTAAGAAGGAGGTTCTGAAAAAATAAAAAAAATACACTTTTCTCAACAAAATACTCAATTTTCTTTTTTCATTTAAAGTTATAAAAATAAGTATATGAGTTCTTCTTTTATAAAAGAGACGAAGTAAGTTATTGAGTGATTATCAAACATTTATAATTTCTTTCATTTAAAAAATGATAATTTTCTATATTAAGAATTAAAGATACTATATTTAATGGAAGGATTTTTATTTGAATGAATATATATAAAATTGTTTGCAGAAGAAGAAGAATATGTGTTAATAAAAGATAGTGAATTTACACTTCATGAGTCCTTTAATTTTTCCATCATACTTAAAATGAAAAAAAAAATCAAGAAAGAAATAATTAAAATGCATAATAAATAAGTGATCATCAAAGAGTTCATATCAAGTATTATTTATTGATTTTGTATCAAATATAAGTCTCGATATTATATCAAACACAAAAATATTACTGGATATATTTCGATTATCGAAGGACTACATGAATAAGTAATATACTAAATTTGATTGTTGATATTATATCAAATATAAGAGAAAGACAATTAAACATTAAAAAAGACCGAATAATAAATGGAATATGTCTCAATAAAAAATTAAGCATAAAAAACACAAAACATAAAAGAAAAGGAAGATGAAAAAAAAAGAATAAAATTTAATAAAAGATTTTTACACGAAGAAAAAAGAATAAAAATGTCCATAAAATAATTTTTGTAAAAATAATTTAATTTAATTTTAACAAGAACGATAACAAATCTCAATATCAAAATTTATGGGTAAAGAATCTATATGTTGTTTGTGATAATCACAACAATAATAAAATTGATTTCTTGTTTAAATTTATTTTTCTACCAAATAACATGAAATAAAATTTAACCGACAATAAATAAATTTCCATCATGAATGAATTACACGTTGTTCAATATTTCCTACCACCTTCGCCTGCATCATTTAATATGCTTCCGCGTTTCCAAACAACTCATTCTAAAAAATATAAAACCAAACACGCCATTGCCGTGGAGAAGAAGGTCAAAGTCAAAAAGTCAGAAGTCGGAAACCAAGACATAAACACTGAAACCACATACCAATTTCGCTCCTTCTTTCTTCGTTCCCAGGTCACAAACCAATTCTATATATAAACATGATAACCATTCACAAAAAACTCAAAAACAAAACAAAAGATTTTCAAACTGAGTTCATACACACATACATTACTTCATTCTTTTTTATCATCTTTTACCTTTCTTAAGTTCAAACCTTAAACATAAACATGGGAGCAATATTACGTACGCTAGAAATCACCGTTATTTCCGGTGAAAACGTGCGCGTAACAGAGGACGCATACGTCGTCGTTCGGGCGGAGTCGCTGAAATGCTGCACCACCAGAACCGCCAAAGACGATGGCAGCAACCTCCTCTCGTGGAACGAGAAGTTCCTGTTGGACATGCCCATGCATGCAAGATCCATCACGTTCGAGGTCCAATGCAGCAAATACAAGGCTTTTCGCCCACTTGGGGTAGCCAGAATCGCTGCCTCCGACCTCCTCAGCGGCGGCGTCGTGTCGGAAAATCAGTTGCCAGTGTTGAGTTACAGGTTGAGGAACTGGGAAGGGAAGAGAAACGGGGTCATTCACTTCACCGTGAGAGTGGCACCGCCGCCGCATCCGGAGGAGGAGAAATGTCCAAAGCCCGCCGTTGAACTCGTGCCCAGAAAGGGTTGCGGTGATCGAATCTATGTCGGTGACAAGACCAATGATGAAGTTGTTGTTGGTGTTCCCGTTTGGTGGAACTACACCCTAGCATAATTTAGAAATTAATTTATATTTGTGATAAATATTATCAATGAAAATTTCCACATTTGTTATATTACAAAAAATCAACTTTTGAAAGTTTGCTTCCCTCCCATATGAAGAAAAAAAAAAAAAAAAACTTGTTAGTGTTGTTCTTTTCATGATTCTAATTTTTCGAAGCAAAATAGGTTGAAGTTCCACCTGGTGGAAACGTGTGTTTTTGTTGGATCCATTGTATGCTGACATAGTATGGAGAAGGAAAAAACATTGAGTGATACGAGGATCGTTAAAGTTGAAAAGGTTGTTTGCATGAGGCGTTAAGAAAGCGCGTAAATGGTGAGACCAGTTCAAAATTTTGTGACCGTTTGACCAGTTTATGTTTTAAAACATTTCGTAGTAGTCATGAAATTGACTTCTTAAAAAAATGTTCAACAAACATGTTTGGTTCTTCTCTACAACTTTCTCAAAAACTAAGACGGTGAGACTTGTCAAATGGATCTTTTCATTGTTACAATAAATTAATTTTTATAATAATACACAACTCAATCTTTTTTTTTCTTTATTCTTTACCAAAAAAAAAACTACTTTGATTTATTTTAGTCTATTATCGTCGGTGTTGTGTTATAACTAGTTTATTTTGAATAAATAATATATAATCAATAAATGATAAAAATATAAAAACGTGAAAAAAATACAAAATATTTTTTATTTAATATATTTATAAGAAAAAACTAATTTATAAAAAAGGATAAAACTACATATAGCAGCATTATTTGGTGTTCTATGATTGTACGTTATCAAATATTGCATGTATTTTAAACACAACTTATAAAAACTTTTAAAAGGTAAGATCAACTAGCACCAGTGGTCTAGTGGTAGAATAGTACCCTGCCACGGTACAGACCCGGGTTCGATTCCCGGCTGGTGCATTCGGAGAGCTGTGATGATAAATGCATCTGGCTGTTGGGTCAGTCAGTGTTCATCTCTATTCAATGTGGATGAGTCAAAGTTCTACTGAGCTCTCATTTTTCATTTTATGCAGTTTCTTATTTGTTCAGTTTCTGCTACTTCACATTTTCCATTCAACCCGAGTTCTCTTTTTGTAGACGTTTTGTATCTGAAATAAATCTGTGCCCTGCAAGTTTTGGTCTGAAATAACGAGTTATCTTCAGTTTTTGATTTTGAGACATTAAAAAGATTAACAATGTCGTCATTTAGTTATCCAAATGTGGTGTAAACGTTGATCTTTGAGCTTGCAACAAAGGGTGGTCACTTAAGCAATCTTCTGAGTATTATTAAGTTAGCTCTGGTTCTTTTTAAAGCAACAATTGTTTTCTTCTTTGCCTTGCATGGTCTCTTATGCAACTGGATATGGTACTTAAGGTTCTTCTGTCTATCTTAATTTTCTTCTCTCAGGTCACTTATGCTAACCTTCCAAATTATTTGACTTCCAAAGGTTGTGCAGTAATGATCCAAGTCAAGTAAAATCAATTAAAGTTCGATTAGATAATAAGAATTATCTCCAGGCAAACCTTAAAGTAAAGGAGATTCCTTTGTTAGTTGCTTAATAGAATTGAAAGACACAACCATATATAGTTAGAAAATACAAAAACCTAGTACAAGTGGTTTAGTGGGAGAATAGTACACTACTGTATCGTAGACCCATGCTCGATTCTGAGTTGGTACCGAAGAAACAACTGTAATGGGGGTCCATGGTTCTCCTGATTCTGGGGATGATAGATTGATGATGCATCTGAGCTCCATTATAGTTTTTGTCCTTTAATTTTTCATCACTAACTTCAGAACCCTACCATGTTCCACATTTAGAAGTTATGCATCTTATCACTGACACTTCAATTATTGGAGAAAGAACAGTGTCATACATTGTTCTCATTCCAATACCGACCTTGCTTTCAATAATTTCAATTAGAACTGGGAAAGGTAGGCAAGGTAGATATGGACAATTCAACTCATTTCATGACATTAACCACTGAACAACAACATTTAAGAGCGTTTTATTGCTGAGTTATGGGCTGGTGCAATAGTGAGCCTTAAATATCAGCATTATTTATTTTCCAGCTTGTATACATCATATAAAAGGTATAGTTAATCTCATTAAATCGCAGGTTGTCCTTGCATCTTATTCACATAGCTCATTCTGTTTTGAATCAGTAATTTTAGTTATTGTGCATCATGTGATAAAGAAATGTTAATTCTGTTTTCTAAACAAGAAATGGAATAAAAATATAGAATAAAGGGTAGTGGAAAAGTGATGCCTTTTTAATTGAGGATTCCACTTAGTCCACATCAAGGAATAAAGTAATAAACGAACTCGAACTATATGGAAACATGATTACAGGATTGTTAGAACTCATTATCTTTCACACAGGCGCCAAATTATAAACTACTTAAAAGGGTTGCTACCCTGTAACCAGGCAGTGACACTTTATCCATTTCAGTCACCTGCAGGTCTTTATACATTTTCCTTGATAGAACTTTCATGGTGTTGTCGAGATTTCTCCCTTGTATAGTCATAGTTGTGACTTGAGCAGAAGAGGCTCAAGAACAGACCTGGACAGGCTGGTGGTGATGCCGGTGAGGGTATCTCTATTCATTCAAAACACATTTACAATGCCCTAGAGATGTTTAATCTTTCAAGTTGATTCAACTCCTTGCATGCTCAGGAATGAGGCGGTGACGCAACTCTTCAGGTGCATTTGCCAATTCTGCATTGTTTTCTTACATAAGCAACGCATTGGCAATTATCATGTAAGCAAAATTGTAAAGTTCACAACCATCTTTACCTTGAGATGTGAAGTTGAACAAAGGAGGTAGGGGTCGCCCGTTTGGCAAGCATGCATTCAGATTCCGCAGATCATCAAAAAATGGATGTGCACATGCAGCCAACTGTAAAAGGAAACAATTACGACACAAGATTAACAACAGCGTTAAATATTTTCTCACACCTACTGTATCTTGGGTAGGTGATGATGAACTATCTTAAACATGAATAACTACTATGACATGTAAGCATGGTCCATCTTTCTTTGATGAGTGCAGCATACAAATACAAATGTAGGGCGATTGAATATATATTATGTAATCTAGATATAGTAGGTAACATTTTAAAAAGCAAACTAACTTACAGCAGTGCAACGTAGATTTGGAGAATACTGAAGCAACCTTGACACCAGATCCACGGCTTCAGGTGGCATTCTCTTGTGAAAAACCTGGAAGCATGTTTCAGTCAGGTCTGAATGGAAGTATTTATCATTGATGGGTTATTCACTACTTTAGAAGGTAGCAGCGGAGTAAAGAAATGTTAACCTTGTGCCATGGGTGAGCTTTAATCTGGGGAAACTTAAATTCATTGTAGTTGGGATTCATGCACCTTATTTCTTCTCTGGTTGGAGTTCCCAGGATCTATTGAAGTACATAATAAAGGCTCAGATTGAAGAAATACACCAAGTGCAACTGTGAAGAGTAAGATCATAAAACGAAACAAGGGGACAGGATTAGAGAACACAAGAAAATGTACCTTGATTATCTCTACTAACTGATCAACCCCGCTTTCACCGGGAAACAATGGCTGCAAGTAATGCAACATAGATCAGTTTAATGGAAATTGCCTTGAATAAACAAACTTAATGGAAATTTAGAATTTTGACAACTACTACAAAAGCTCCTCAACATGAAACAAAGATAGATAGTGGAAAAAAGAAAAAACTTTTCAAACCAAGTTACAAGGACCAAATGGCCCCATTGTATTCTGTCATGGACCAAATCCTCAGGAAGTCCGTCAAGTGTGTGAGATAGAAGAAAAATTAACAAAAAGTCTAACATATGCTAACCTGTCCTAGAAGTAGCTCAGCTAAAACACAACCAACAGACCACATATCAATGGCGGTTGTGTATTCAGTTGCCCCAAATATAAGTTCTGGAGCACGATAATATCGAGAGCAAATGTATGATATGTTGGGTTCACCGGGTACCTGAAAATGCAATAATATTATAAACCCAGGAGTATACTATCAAAAGATCATCAAAAGCTCAAAGTCAAAAGGTAAAGAAACTTACCAACATCTTTGCACTCCCAAAATCACATATCTTTAACTGATGTGTCTGCAGATTTACCTATCATATGCATCACATGTCAGTTCAATACATTCTCTTTCACAGTATAGAGACAAGTTCTAAGAAGTATGAATCACATCACATGTTATACAAGTAAGCAACATTGTTTACAGCCTCTTGCTTTCCTTCTAAAAATACATTATCACCAGCTCAAAAAAGTGTTCCGCACCACCCCCCCCCCCCCAAAAAAAAAAAAAGATTTTAAGGGAATTGAGCAATGCATACATCTATCTGATCAATTGCAACATCCAAGGGGAATTTCTTGAGTGTTTTCATGTAACATAAATGTGGCAGAAATAAAGGAAACTTTAAAAAGATAAAAGAGAAAAGCAGGAGAGTATCACTCAGGACAAACTGTTGAAATGAATCTTACCAATAGGTTCTGGGGTTTGATGTCACGGTGACAGACACCAATAACTTGATGTAAATAATTCAATGCACGGCATATCTACAAGATGGGAGTACCATGACCAATCAATATAGACACAAAAATAATTTGCTCAAAGCAATTAACAAGAGCCCGCAGGTTATCTTACCTGGTATGTATATAGTTGCACATAAATCATGGGCATATGTTGGTGCATCCTAACATAGTGTTTTGAAACTTTGTAGACAGTTTCAGGTACATACTCCAAAACCAGGTTAAGGTATAATTCATCTTTATCGGTGGTTGAAAAGAAGCAATGCTTTAGTTTAACAACGTTAGGATGGTCAACTGTGCGCATAACCTGGAGTTCCCTATTCTTATATCTCTTGTCTTGCAGCACTTTCTTTATGGCAACTGCTTCACCAGTCTCAAGGCACTTAGCCTGCAACAAAGAAAGAATAGGAATATTGTAAGCCAACAAGTAATGGACAAGCCTGAATAGAACAACGAGGTTGAGGACAACTACATCATAAAATGACTGCAAAAACAATAAAAATACCTGAAAGACGACACCAAAAGAACCAGTCCCAACCACACGTTCAGCCATGTATGAGATTGTCTGAGACCAATAAAATACATGAGTTATTAAAGTAACAAATCACTGTTAAGGCTTATAAATTATCATTTAACAATGCAAATAAAGTGTAAAAATGCAACAACCATAGATAACTACCTGCTTTGGCTGTCCATCCCGACCACCAATGGCAGTTGTTATTATTTGACCTGTTTCTGTTCCATTACCACTCACTACAGTTGCCTCTATATCCTACACGCAGTAATTATAGTAAAATCAACAACTGCTGGCATTTATAAAGATAAATGAACTTGTTAAACATAAAAGTAATTTGTTTTATGATATGAAGTTGCATATGTATGTACTTGTAATGAACAAGAAATATGATTACACTTGCACATATTTAAACTAACACGGCAGTGACTAAAATAAGTATTGAACTTGGAAGAGAAAGGAAAGATGAATGGTTTTAAATACCTTTTCATTGTTGGTCTTGCTTTTCTCATCTCTAATTTTCATTTCATTTAGTTCTTTTGGAAGTTCATCATAACCTGACTTCTCAGTTCTAGCTATTGTTGATACATCGGATGTGCCAACTGTGGTTTCTTTTGGTGCATCTACAGGCTGATCCTGATCTGTGCAGACTGTATCAACAATATTTGTTTTCTCATCAACCTTCACTTCAGTTTCTTGTTCAAACTTGGCTCTTTTCGAGTTAGAATCCCCTCCCTGAAAAGAAACAGCATGAACTTCATTTAAATATCCAAAACATGAGTTATTCCAAGAGTGTTAGTGGAGGGAGAAAAAAAGATCCACATTCCACATTTGAAACGACTCCGTCAAATAAATTTCATGACTCACCTACTTAAGTCAGGTTTATAATATATAGTTTCACCATAATTAAAATACAGAGCTTAATGACAAAAACCAACTACGTAAACAAACAACTAGTACACATATCCCAATTCACTTCTTCTAGGTGAAACACCAACAGTTAATGTAACCAATCTTGAAGTTCAAGTTGTCACACATAATCTAGGAAAAGCATTTTGCAATATAAGCAAAGCTTCCATTTTAATAGGCACACCTAACTGATCTGTGTCCAGATCATGTTACAAAGAAAAACAGCAAATGTGAATATACCTCAGATGCAGACTATATATAGTAAGATCATAAAACTCGTTAATCACATTACCTATATCTTCCAAAAAAGGAAAGAAAATATCCACAACCACCAGTACTCGGAAAAAAAGGGGCAAACATTTACATACATGTAAGATAACATAAAAATTTGGTAACGGAGAGATATAACATAACAACTAAATCAAAAACCCAGAAAAATATTTTAGAAGATAGAGAAAATTTTCCACGCAGCTTGCTCAATATTTGTAAAAAATCCAAGAAACCTAAAACAACTAATCTGATAATCCCTTTCCCCAACCTAGCTTTTTCCATTTTCTGAGCAACCAAACAAAAACAGTTCCCCCACCAATATAATAATTAAAACAAAAAACTTTGAGGCAAGGAAAAGCATATCTTACAGGATCTGAAGAAATGGAAGTCCTCCCAGAAGCAATGCTCTTCAACCTTCGCATCATATTCATGGTTCCTGATTCCACTCAAGACCCACCACTCCAAACCCTAAATCCCTCAAACCCCACCAAAAAAAATCGAAACTTTTTCAGGATAGAAGAGAGAGTACCCCAACTTTCTCCCCCCGCACCCCACTTCGCAGCAACCAAACTAGAAACAAATGAAAGACCAAAACAACACAATCTTGTTAAAAAAACCCTCTCTTTCTCTCTCTAGATTCTCTCTCTCTTACTCTAAGACAGAGCTTCCCAGGTGGTCTTTTTAGTTTATTTATGTTACTGAAAAAAAAAAATCTCAAATTTCTATGGTCAAACCCAACCATTCCACCTTCAAAATTTGTACCTCAGTCAAACGCGCAATCATGGCCGTCCTTGGCATTGATGGAAGATAAAGGGTGGTGATTTTCTGACTGGAGATAAAGTAAAGGTTGGGTTTGGTGGCTTGCGGTTATGAAAATGCCCTTAATTTGGTATTTATTAACGAAAATGGGATCGCAGGTTGGATCTTAAACAGAATATCCTGTTCTTCATAAACTCTGTTCAAATTCTAACATAAACCAATCCATCAGACTTACAAGTGTTTTTTATTCTTGCAGTAATCAGGGAAACAAATTAGACAAAAGAAAATATCTATTAATTTAATGTTTCTAATTAAATAAATTATTTTTTATAAATATATAATGCCCTTCCATGAAAAAGAGGCATGCCCCCACGTTCCAATAGTCAGGGAATAGACTTTGAAATTGAGACCCATGTCATGTCATGTCATGTTTGGGAATTATTTACATTTTTCCCTTTGGACATATATTTACATAATATGAGAAATATTTAAATATTAAGGTTTTATTAATAATTTAATAAAAATAACAAAAATTAATAATGAAAATACATAATGATTAAATTATTTTATCATTACATAAAAAATCATTCCAGGTTCAAAACTATATTATACCAAATTATTTGAAATTATACGTTAAAAACATGTCAAATTGTTGTTTCATCTTCTTACCATTTTTTTCTTTTCGTCAAATTATTAATGCATCTCAGATATCATCATTATCTCATAATTGTTTTGTCCTCTTTTTTTCACTTATAATTTAATTTATAAAGCAGTAAATTAAGCTTTATGTATGTTTAAATATATTATGTAAAAAAACTCATTATTGAAAAGATGAGAAAATAAGAAGAGGATTTGATAAAAACAAATTGGGAGATATAACAATCCTAATTAGAAACAAATTTGTATTTCTAATGCAAATAAAATAATCTATCAAACCATCAATATTGTCTTAATTATTTGATTTTTAACAAAAATGATTTTGCAATATACTAGTATTTAAAATAATTTATAATATTAGTTTCTAATTGTGCTATAGCCAATAATCTTTCCAATTATAGAATGGTTCTTCTTTGTGTGGAAAGTCTTTCTTTAGATTCTCATTCAATCATAGCTTGTCGGTTCCTTTTTTACCTTTTTTTTCATTCAAAGTCACTGACCCCATACTTACATTGTTTTGGTCAGTGGTCAATGATGACTCCATCTCGCAAAATTACTGGGCCTTGCTAATATACAAAACAAAAATAGCCCACACAGTACAAAATGAATGGGCCCAACAACAATAGTACCTTTCTTTAGCCCAATTAATCATTTACAATAAAAAAATGACATTTTTTTTTCTCTACCTCCATCTTTTCTTTCTGTACCCTCCTATTTATTTAAAAAGAAAATAATATCCTTAATTATATGGAACACATTATCCAAAAGCATATTATGGAGTATTTTGGATTGAAAATTCCCGAAAATTTTTGGATGAATGGATCCATAATTATATAATTTTATAAAATTTTGAATTATGAAATTCAAAATATGATTTTACCATGAAAAGTTTTCAAAAAGTTACATCTGAAAATGTGTTTCACATGTATGATTTATGTTTCGGATTCACTCTTTTGAAAGCTTTCCGAAATGAATTTTTTGAAAAATATTTTGGAATGACCTTTTAAGAAGCTTTTTGAAAATGTTATTAAAACGTTTCTAGAAAACTTTCACAAAGGTATTATGGAATATTTTCAAAAGTTCATTCAAATTTTTTTTTTTTTTGAAAGAATGAATCCGAAACTTATTTTCATTAAGAGCAATATAATCTTTTAAAATGAATATGAGGTACGGAGAAAAAAAAATGAGGTGCAGAAAGAAAAAGCTTAAAAAAAAAAAAGTCACTACTCGTCAAGGGTTATTATCCTTGAGTCCATGGCCTCTATCCCACTAATAAGATTTGGTTGCTTCTTTCTACACTCCAATAATTTCTTTTACACCCACATAATATATGTAAAGGGTTAAAATTGTCCTTTAAGATTAATTTTCCTATTTTTTCAAACCTTATTTTTACTTTATGGTTAATTTTTTCTTTTTATGATTTATACGTTGAATTGTATAACATGTTGTATATTAAAAAAATCTTATAAAAAAATACAATTGGTTTGTATTTATGATATTATGGATTATTAAATCTGAAGTATATTTCTAGAAAATAAAAAAACAAGTTATAGATAGACTAATCCAAAATATATTTTTAGATTATATTTTTAAAAATTATTCTGATTTAGAAGAATAAATTTAAAAAACGAAAAAAACTTTGTTTTCCACAAAACCGTAAGGGATCAGTGTAACATGATTACTATGAACTGAAACACAGAAAACACTACATCTGATGATTAAGTAAAAAATAACTCAGAGTTGAAACTAGATCTGAATAGATGTTACAACTCGTTACTTATTTTCCCTTTGAATGTAGCAAATAGATTCAGATGTTCATATGAACATCTTCCAGTTATTTCTAGAAGAATTTTTATTTTTTTTAATAAACAAGTATTAACATACGTTGAAATTCTTTAATAATAGTTGATCTAATATTAAAATTTTAATTTACAGAAAAAAATTATTTTATTTGATTTTCTCAAAAAGTTTTTGTAAATTGTTTAGCAATTTGAACTTAATTACGTACAACCAAAAGCATAGATTCAAATAAACTAAACGAAATCAATAAACATGTCTTGAAACAACCCAACTTTAATGATTGCATTGACTTGTGAGCTTCTTTAAGTGAGATGTTTAATATTTTACCAAAAATGTAGAAAGTGGGTATTTGCAAGGGAGAAGAAGAAGGGTGAGTAACAAATGGTTTTACTTGAAGTGTGTATGTTGTTTTTGATTTAATGTTTTATACAAATTATGGATAAAAAAAGATGGACGATAAGGCATGCAGCAAGAAGCTATTATAATAGCTAAGCCACATGATTTTGTGGCAAAGTCATCTTGGATTCCTAAATCTACACAAACACAAAGGCAACTTCTTAAAGATGAGTTAAGGATATTGTTAGTAAAATGTTAAACAAGAGTTTCATTTTTGTGTTTGGAGTTACTTAGAATAATGAATGGACCACCTAAAAGGGCATCATAATTAATGGGTAAAGCTTTCAAGTGATAGTTTTAGGACAATCCCATCAAAGTCACCACATACTTCACATTGACATTTTCCAATAGGGTTTTGAAGATAGGGGGAGCTAATAATGTCTAAGTTGTAGTTTTCTAATCCCATCTAATACCTCCAAACGTTGCCATCATTGTCTTAACATAATGTTTTCAAGGGTGTGGGGAACGGTGGACCCACCACCATGTGTTTGAAAGAACATCATAACACAGGAAGGAAGGAACTTTGGGATTACACAAGAATGACAAAGAAAGGGTGGTGAGGTAGCTGATCCAAAATAGCAAGAAACAGGCCCATAAGATAATGTCCTAAAGCCAGCAGAACTAAAATGGCCAACTGCCATTCCCTCTTTCTGATACCCTTTCATTTTCTTGACTTTATTACCATCGTCCACACCTACTAGTATTAGGATTTCATCATCACACCTCACGTGTATCCATCCTCTTTCTTTCTTTCTGCAAATATGTTATCATAATACTAATTATCTGCATGCATGAAAAATTTAGAACACAAAATGTGATTCATAGCAGAATTGTCATCAGCTATGTATGCATACATACATACACATACATGACCTCAGTTCAATCAATTGTTGGATTGAGTTATAAATTCCAAAGTATCAAATTTATATATATACATATATATCAGTCATGTATTTCTGGTTTATGATTATTAGTCCTGCTACATGCATATTTCGAAATGGGTGAGATTCTAAATATGTATATGTTGTGACACATGGTCACAAAAGTTGCTGCAAGGGAAGCTTCAAGGGGAGAGGCAGGGAATCAAATATGTTTAGACTCAAAAGAAGCATATCTCTAGGGTTTTGTTGGAGAGGCTCCACAAGGGGAGGGGCCAAAGGATTGTGGTGAAATGTCTACAATAATATTGGCAACGTGCATGAAGTCCATGGCATTGATTGAGTGGTAACATGCACATTTGAGAATTGAAAGCAATTGAAAGTTGAATGAGTAGGTGCACTAGAAGTGGCCAAAAGAGCTTTTTACCCACACATTCATGGTGACTGTTAAGATACTCATATATCCATTATTGACATTATTAGGAAATATGAAGTGTTGTTATCAGTAGAGATGGTAGAGATGATGGGACATGTGAATTTCTTCAAAGCAAGAGTCACTTTCCACCCTACCAAATCATTCTAATCTTCCAAACTTCACACTGTTTCTCAACAGTAACCACATCATATACTTCCACACTCGAAATATCTCCTTCCTTTATCATTAAAATGTCTAAGAAAAAAAAAACTTATTGATTGTGAAAATATGTTTTATAGATGAGATATATAATAGAGAAGATTTTTTTAATAATTTTATATAAAATATCCGATATTACTAATATATTAATTTTAATCGTTTAAATTAAAAACTGAGATAATATAAAAATCTCAATAAATGACAATATAATATATTTTTAACAAAAAATTAATTCATGTTGTAATTTATTCTAATAATATCTGAATACATGTTTTTGAGATCTCACTATTAGATATATGTTTTATAAATATTAATATATTTATTTAATATGGTATTATAATTTTTTAACAGATTTTACGTCTTTTTTGGACATGATATTTATAAATCTCATAATCCAACTAAGTGTTTTTAAGGATAAAAAACACATGCACTAAAAATATTATCATAATAATTTTTATTTTATTTTTTACTTTTTGTCGAAATTGAAACTATTAGGAAAAAAATTCAATCTAATCCCAACACATTAATTCTAATCATTCATATCATATCCCATGGTATTATATGTTCGACCCTACTAAACATAGCTTTAATTTCAACTTGACCATCCCTTAAACTCTTATTATCTCTCCTAATTTTTCATTATGGTTCGGTAGTATTTTGGGTATTTTTTAGGAAGTTAATAACATATTAATCCGAGTAGGTTATCACACAAATGATGAATTTTTTATATTATTTTAGGTATTTTTAGAAGAATTAATACAATTTTTTTTAAAGAGTCATGAATTAATTAGATAAGAGAATACGAGGTTAAATTCAATTCAAAACCTTAAAATATTATATTATAAATCTTTTTTATTTACTCAACTTTTTATTTCAAGAGTTTCAATTTACATTTAAAATTTTAATATCTTAAAATATTATATTAATATATTATTATGTATATTTAAAATAGTATATTTTTATAATTTATTGCAAAATAAAATTTATCTTTCTAAAACGAATAAAATATAGTTTTAACCCTATAAAAAGTTACTTAGGTTCAAATTAATATATTTATCCTAACAGGACTTTTTTTTAAGAAATAGATATTATTTAATTTTTTTAAAGAATGTTAAATATTAAAAGCAATATCTTCAAAATTTAGAAGAAATAAAATCAAATGTTTGGATCAATGCAATAAATAAAATATCTTTTAATAAAAATTCAGTTAAAATTAATTAAAACAATTAGACTTCGAAACATTTATATACTTTAAATTAATTTAAAATCAATTAATCATAAATTTCAAAAATATTTATTATAAAAGTTAAATTTCTAAATATATACAATTTAACTTGAAGTAGGTTAGATTCGTTATACATCATTATATTTAAAATATTATCTATTTTAGTATTTGATGACTAATAATTTATTTTTAAAAATCATTAATATCAAATATCAACATAAATAAATAATATTTTAATATTTTAGATTAAAGATAATATTATATTATTTTATATTATTGACGTAATGATTAAAAAAATTATCTATTTTAGTATTTGATGACTAATAATTTATTTTTAAAAATCATTAATATCAACATAAATAAATAATATTTTAAATTTTTATATTAAAGATAATATTATGTTATTGACGTAATGATTAAAAAAATTCTGTGTTAAGTTCCCTCATAAATTATCAATGATGATATTAGAGTAATTATTTAGGTAATGATTCACTTAGTGAAATATGATTAGAATAAATAAAAGATTATTGATGGCAGATCTTGTATCGAATTTTTTTAATCAGTAAGTGAATCTCATTAAATTAAATAATGGTATACAAAAATATTACCAGCATTATTGAATAATAAATATTTTCACTATGAAAAAAAAGTGTATCATATTTTAAAATTTTGAATTAAAATAATTCTTAATAAAAGCTTTCTTAATATATATTAAAATAAGTATGTTGCGAAAGCATAAAAAAACAAAAAATTATTATTTGTCGTGAAAAAATATATTATATATATTTTAAGATAACATTAAACATCACTTAATTTTAGAAAGATGGAATTAGATTGCTCTCTTACTCATTCATGAATTCATCTAATAAATACAAAGGAAGGGATCCATTCCTATCAAGTGGCGAGAAAAGCAAATTTTGTTAGTACCATAATGAATTAAAATGTAGAAAACGAGTCCCAAAGAAGGTAGAAAGTAAACTAGAAATGATGGATGGAAACCTAAAGCCATAGCCATACGAAATTATGAGAGCAGAAAGGTAAAAGGACGATGACGATGGAAGGAAGAGAGAGAGAGAGGAAAGGGATTAAGACGAAATGAAAAGGTTATGATGGTGCCAAAACGGCGTTATCTTAATGGTTGTAGCTAGGGTGGTGGTGGTGGTGGTGTAAGAAGGTTATTGGGTGAGCGAAGAAAATGCCATAACCTTTGCATTAAATGATGCCAACGCTTCCTCCAACACCTTCTGCACACTCATTTAATGCATACCAGACACACTCCCTCACCCCATCACCATCATCTTCATCAATCCTCCTCCATCCACAACTCTTCAAAACCTAAATTCTACTGCAATAATTATCCCTTCTTCCAACTCCATTTTTCTCATTTTTCAACTGTTATTACATCATACAATTTGTGAAACAAATCCAAGGGAAAACTTTTCCATTTCATACACTTCAATTAATAAAAAGTAAAATAACATTTCAATTAATAAATACTAACAACCTTTTTTTTTTTTTTTTTTTTTTTCTATTTCTCTATTCCGAGCGAAACAAAAGGTCGACCCGAGTCAATACCCGAACCACGACCCTTGCCTTGTGGTTAGATCCTTACCACCATGCAAGGAGTTTTCTCTTTTCTCCACGCGCGGTTCGTTCTTGACTCAAACAACCCACGTGTCATTCACACGCGCAACCCATTTCACGTTTTAATGTCTAGAACGTTAATTTTCATAACCTCATCAACAACAAAAATAATAACAACCAGAATCACGTGATTAACTTTCGCAGTGGAGCGCGGCTTTGATCTTCTGAACGGTGCATGATATGAGGTTGTTCACGGTTTCCACCGACTCTACGGTGAGCTTGGCTGTAGGAAGACTATTCACAAGGATCTGAAACGCCACTGTTAGGAGGGACCCACTCACACGTGCCCCGCCGTTTTCACTGCCGTTTGTTGTGGCAGTCAGCCCATTCTGCTGCCCACGAGACCCGGGCCCATCGGGAACAATCGCAAATCCTGAAGGCAACAAAGCCACGTAAGCCGAATCACCACCGTTCATAACCACGTGCATGGCCGGGATATCCACCGGCGCGTACACCACAAGCGACCCCGCCGCGTCTATGCATGTCTCCTGCAGTATCAGCATGCTACTCTGGTTGGAGTTTATCGCCTGCGACAATATCAAATTTTAAAATATAAACTCCAATTAATTAAAATAATACAATGAATGTGTTGTCATTTCCGCGAAGCTGGTCAAACCCTGATTCAATTTTTTTTTTAACTTTTTTTCATTTTTGGTTTTATTTATAAAAAATAATGAATGAAATTCAATGAAGTCAGAAACCACGCAGGTGACTATCCTTTATATTTGACTTTTTATTTTATGATTCATCAAAATCTGCCTTCATTGATACTTCCAAAATTTCCATCCTTGTCCTTCGCCAAGTTTCAACCGCTCTCATCCAAATACTACTCGACAAACTCCCATTTCATTTCCTATATAAAAAATCCAACTGAAAACAAAACATGAACACAACCTTTGCATGGCCTAAGAAAGAAATAATCTTAAAACATTTAGACATCAAAATTACAAAAAATAAAAATAAAAAAATTGGATAACTTAATTGTTATGAGATAATAGATGGAAGGAGAGAGAAACAGCATACACTGGCTCGTAGGAGAGATACGCAGTTGCCGTGGTCTTGGCCCTTGGCGATGTGGGCCATCTCCTGCATGGGCCCACCGTTGGAGAGTATGTCCCACTCGCTTCGGAGGCGCTCGTCGCGGAGGAAGTCGAAGAGCCTCTGCGGCGACACCGGGAGCCAGACGGAGGTGGCGGCGCTCAGCACGATCCCTGGCGGCTCGCCGGGATCGTCCACGCTCTTCCGCGTCATCACCCTCACGTCCTCGTCCACGTTCCCGGCGTTGAGCTTGTTCCACTTGTGCACCGTGGAGGCGCACACACCGGCGCAGAAGTTGTTGGTCATTCGCTGCGCCAGCTTCACCATGCTCCGTCTTCCCCCAGCCGTTATTGCTGCACCCACCGTCAAATCATGAATCTTTATCCTGAATTTCAGCTATTATATATAAAAATTTGAACTTTACAATACCCATATAAAAGTACCTGAATGGTCTCGAGATGGTGCTGCTGAGGACATTAAGATCGCTAGACACTCGCTTTGGCGTTGAAGGGTAGCCACCCATCGTTGAGCACCGAAACCCATGCCTGAGCTCAACAATGGTCTATAAACCTGGTGAACTTGGTTCTCATCGTATTCTGCATGCTCCACCCATGTCACCTTCAAACCATATATGTAACCATGTCAAACCTCCATGCATGTTACAAATTATTTGAAAACTACTAATACAAGATTGATTAATTAATTAAGTGCATCATGTTGACTAATTGAAGTGTTTATGGCGTCACTAGATAATAGAAAAATGTGAAAAAGCAAATCTTGGCAAAGCCTGAAGACTGGGATAAGAGACAGACATAGGTATCTCATGGACCTCGACAAGTACATAAAATATTGGAACTATATAAAGTCAAGATGCAGTATTTACAGGAGCAAGGGGCACCGTGAGCATCGAGATTTACCCCCAAACAAAAACTCAGAGGAAACAGACAAAGTACTCAGTCTCTGATTTTTTACTCCAAGGCTCTTCATTCAATATTATATGTAACAGCCCTATGAGATCATAGGTCTGGAACTAGGTCACATTCTATCTCGTGAATTAAATAATGCGCGAAGATACTTATATCGTGGCGTCAAAGATTGGAATAGAAACATCATATGTATTCTTTATAGAATCAAAAAGTGCGTGCAAGATTATAAGGCCAATTTCATTCAAATGGATGCATAAAATTATGTGATGGAGACTTTTGTGAATAAATTAAAGGATTGATCTGGATTTTATGCCACACAGGGAATACTCTCTATTCCAAAAACTAACACTATTATCTTATATAACACGGTATCTATAAATATATAAAAAAATTATTAGTTAATGTGTGCATGATTTGATTAACACCTAGTACTTAATGTAATACTTGAGATAGTTATAAATTAAATTATCTACGCAATTATTGAATGAGAAGATTAAAAAAATTTGACAAAGTCTTGGATTTGTAAAATGGTTATAATTTAAAATTGTCTAGGAACACCATCCAAATAGTCTATGGGATTGAAGATCAAATGTTAAAAACTCCACATTGACATATAATTGTTAATTGAGTGAGACAAGGAGAAGCATCCTATTCAAGTGCAATGCAATTTATGTAAATTCTTGAAAAAATGAAATGAATTTTGTATGAAAATGATCACTGACAGAATAGTTACATAGAGAGTAGTCACTAGGGTAGCTAAGTTACTTCGAAACAGGAGCTCTTTAAAAGCTTCGAAAAGCAAAGCCCGTGATTCCTTGGCATGGTGTTTTGTTTTACTTGAATATTCTGTATTTGGATCTTACCATCCAGTAACTTGCATGAACAAATGTAATTACAATCCAAATAGAAAGATACCCACTTTGGAAATCATAAAAAATTCAACAAAACATTAAATCAATTAACTATTAGCATATAGTTTGGTAACAGTGGCTGCATGGTATATAATTTTCATATATATAGAAGAAATATGTTCGGAACACAAAGTATGGAGAATATAAATCATTTTTACTGTCCTCAAAAAGATTAGGAATCTTAAACAAAAACATTATTTAACTCAATTTTTGTAACATTGTCCTTTCTTTCTTTTAACCTTTTCATGCTATGGAGGATAGTAGTGTAATTATTGTCCTTTGTTTCCTAAAGCTTAAGGGAGTAGCTATATCCAAACATTTTAGAATAGAATCATCCCACACTGAAAACTAGAGAAAGTTTTAACAATTTACCTTGGAGTAACCATTGGGCATGTCTTGCAGAACACAACCAGAAGGAAGCCTCCTACAGTTCACAAACGTGGGTGGTGCTCCTGAACCTTCTCTGATGCTATCAATGGACACATCCACCACTGCCCAAACCCCTTCTGCGTGCTGCTTGCAAAATCGAAGGAAATTGACCTCGCGAACAGGAACCAAGGGAGAAAGAACTTGAAGTTCAGCATGCATCTAAGAGCACCAAATTTTGAAGTGTCACCCCTTTTCTCTTCACTAAGAAACCAAAATATTGCTTGCTGGAACATAAACTAAACTTACTAATTGAAGTGCTCCATTTCTTGTTCCATTTATTCCATTAGATATCACTTCAGTTGTTGAGGTTCTTGCAATGATACAAGGAAACATCTCTGCCCATCTATTCTGTTGAGGCAAAATGCAATTTAGTTATGCATTTCTGGGTGTATTTTTCAAATTTCCATCATTTTTTAAGCTCAGGCAAAATTTAGATGTACCTTCTTACGTGCTTCAATATACTAATTACAATTGGAGTTTCACTTTTATAACATATATTCATCTTTAATGGGATAAAGCTTCAAATCTAAACTTAAAAATACATTTATGTTTTGTGAATTGCAAGTTAATGGCTTAGCTTACCGCGTCCATGAGAGTCTCAACAAGTGCCAAACTGTTAATGATGACCATTCCATTTTCCCTAGAGGCTTCAGACACAAACCCATTGGGTCTCAAACCAATGCAAGGAGTGAAAGTCCTCACATACTCCTCATGGTTCAAAATTTCCCTCCCCCCTTCAACATTTCTCACCCAAAGAGGCTCCCCAGTTTGTGCCATCTTCACCAACTCATCCATGGCAGCCAAAGCAAGCTCAAGAAACATAGACCTCTCGATGGATTTATCAAACCCACCCACAACAGTAGTTGGTCTAGTACTCGACGGGGACACCATAGCCAAGGGGTTGTTAGACACAGACATAGACATTCCCATTCCAAAATCTTGTCCCAAAGGCAATGTAGTGCTGATGCTCATTCCACCAAACCCGTTTCCCCCAACGCCAAGCTCCAAACTTGAATTCGGTAATGAAGAAACCGGACGACCCAGAAACTTGCCTGTGAGAGCACACACCCGATCGAGCTCGTCCTTCAATCGCGCATTCTCAATCCTAAGGTGCTGTTCCTCCAGCGAAATCTCGCCGATGATGGCAGGACCACCGCAATTGGAGCACATGGGGTTCCTCATTGCCTCCCTGATGGACATGTTCTCCGCTCTCAACTTGTCGTTTTCTTGCCTCAGCAAAGTGTTCTCGTGCCGCTCCAACTGGGTCTGGTACAACCGTACAAACGAAACCACACAGAAGAAAAAAGTTCCAAACTGCATCAAAAACCTCAAAAAGAAAGAAAAGGAGTGTGAAAATGACTTGGTGCGAGTTTGATGAGTGTCACACCTTCATTTGGGTTCTCCTGTTTTGGAACCAAAACTTCACCTGTCGGGTTTCCAAGCATAGCCTCTTGCTAAGTTCGAGTCTTTGCTTCTCATCTGGATGAGGACATTCCTTGAACAACCTAAACCCGTTAAAAAAAAAAAATTCAAAAATCCCATCCACCATTCAAATCACAAATTGCGTACATGTACATGTATAAGATATGAAGTAAAATCAAACATTTTAAGAAGCCAGAAATTATAAGAGTGAGGAAGAAGAGAGATGATGAATGGTGGGATGAAAATAAGAAATACGCTTCAAGTTCTTGTATCTGCTGAGGGGTGTGTCGGTGATAGCGTTTTTTCTTTGGAGGTTTGTCATCTGCATCGTGTTCATCCCCGGAAGCACCATCCATGTTGTCGCTGCCAGATCTGCTTTCATGCTCTTCTTCTCTGCTTCTTCTCAGACCGTTTGGTTCTTCGAACATTCTATTCGCATCTTCTTGTCCATCTAGATTGGTTTGCTGCTTTTGATTAATTTTTTTGCAGACAAGAAAGGAAAAGAAATGAGGAAATACAGTACAACATGGTACCAACTCAATATGTTTCTTAAAGTAAAGTAACAAGATCTCTCACAAGTGCCAGAGATAGTCCCGGGGAGTTGAACATGGATTTGGCCAAAGTGGGAGTGGTGGTCACGAGACGTGGCTGAGAGATTGCACCAAAGGGCATTCTATTGTTGTTGTGGGGGTTGGTAGCGGTAACGTTTTTGTAAGGAATATCTGAAACGTTACTACCTGATTTGTCGTCAAGAAAACCCCCAAAACTCATCAAAGAAGCCACTTTTCTCTTTAGGAAGCACCCCAACAAGCCTTAATATTTTACCCTCAAACCCCTTGAACTTTCTTCTTCTACCTCTTCTTATACACCGATTTGCTTCATCCGTGGCAATTTAGACGTCAATTCACTACCCCAAAATTTGAAACCAAAGAGAGACTCAAAAAAGATGAACTGAGTCGGTCAGGAATAGACTTATATACTCGGGAGAGCGATCAAAGAAGAAACTTTCAAGGTAAGGGGAAAATAATAGAGACAGAGAGATAGAGGAGACAAAAGGATAAAGCCCCGATGTCTCAGCTTTCTCTCTGTAGCCAAAAGAAAAAAAATGCTGTCTTTTTCTTTTCTTCTATTATTTGAAGAGAAAGAAGGGAAGGCTACTAGAAAACCCTTATGTTACTTCAATCCAGTGACACTTTGTGGCATAGACACAGTTGAAGGGTAGTTTCAATCCATTGGCTTGGGGATAAATGGAAAAAAAAGGATATAAGAACCCTAGTGTCTCTGTGTATGTGCCTCATTCTCTGCATGCTTGACTATTGTACAGCTTAAAGGGAAAATGAAAAGAAAATAAGCTGATGCAGGTTTAAATTAAAGTTTTATTATTTGAGTAATTAAAAACATTGTATTTGACTTTCTTAAAAAAAGAACAGTCCCCTACTGTTATGTTAAGGAAAAGGGTAAGGATATAAGAAAATGAGATGGTTATAGATTTGGGCACAGAGTGGGGAGAGAGAGAGAGAGGAAAAGGGTTGGGAAAAAAGGTGAAGATAAAACGTAACGTGTGGACTATTGGAAGCCTTACAAATAGATGGATCCAAAAAGGGTCGGTTGACTCTTACTGTGATGGCTGATATAATTTGCACAGTCTCCCTATAAAGCCTGTGAATGACTGTGAAAAAAATTGCAAAGTGCCTTTTTGAAGACTTTTTGTGGGGGATGAGAGTAAACCGATTTACAATGATAGGGTTTGTATGCTTTGTGTGCTTGGCATCAATCAGATCCATGGGATGGGACTCTTTCACAGAAATCTCAGCCTCTCTTCACAAACCGTCCTAGGGATTCTCAATAATTGGACTAAGCTTGCTTTAATCAGTCCTAAGGAGACAAGCAACACTGCTACTTTCCTTCCTTTCTTTCTTTTTTTTGTTTCAATGAATCTCAAAACACACATATTAAACAATAAGTTTTCAATTAAAATATCTATTAATAAAATTTTAAGTTTAGTTTTAAATAATAATGTAAAATATCTTTCACCAGTAAATTAGAAAAATTAAATGTATTTTATATTTTATATGTTACTTCTTCCTTGGCGGCTCATTCACATATTTTTTATGAAAAATTTGATGGGGTTAATATACATATAATTTTACATCCATTAATTATGTATGTGCATACTGCGTGTATTGTGCCATGATTATTTTTTTTTTTTCAAAATATTCTCCATCAAAATCAAAATTTAAGAATATTTAAGTGAATGATTAATTTTACTTCATGTTTAATTACTAAAGATATTAAGTTTATTATGATTAAATAAATTGTACTATTTACTTACCCTTCAATGAATAATAACAAACTAATTCCGACACAATTACTCTTTTAATAAATAAATCAATAATATCAAATAGAACCACGTATATATATATATATACTTATTTTTGTTTTTTATACAATAAATACTAGTAGTTTTTTTATTAACGTATTGTTTTAATTGAACAAATATTTTTTATTGAAACGAAAATTCTAATTTTGGAAACCGTTTAAAAAAGAAGCACTAATTAATTCTTCTAATAAGTTTAATGTTTTTAATAGTTTAAAATTTTAATATTTTAGTGAAAATAACTTTGACACTAATAATTGTTTCCATAAAACTTAATTTATAAATTAACCATGAAATGAATACTTTTTTCACTAAAAAAAATCGTTTATTTCCGATATATTTTTATCGACCGGATTTGTAGTCACCAAAAAATTTGTTATTACTGACGCGATGAAAATTGGTTTTACCAGACGGATATATCCGGTCGGTAAATTAATAATTAGTTATCGATGAGATATATCTGTCGATAAATCCGTCGGTAAATTAATAATTAATTACCGATGGATAAATCCGTCGATAAATTAATAATTATATTCAGTCGGTAAAATTATATAATAATTACTTAATCTTAAATATATTCTAATAAATTAATTATTCACCTAATTAAAAAATTAAATATTTTTTCTATTTAATAAATTAATTTAATCATAATTAGATTATTTTATAATAATTTATTAAATTAAATAGTTTTAAAAAATAAATATTTAATTATATATAAATATATAAAAATATATAAATATATATATATATATAAATATAATTTATTGAAAACTATAATCGAAACATTCTAGTAGATACGATGGTTGGAGTATCAATCTCCATCTCTAAGGTCTTGGATAATAAGTTTTATATAATAAATAAAAAAATTAATAAATAATAAAAATATTTCAGACGGAAATTAGTCGATAATTATCCGTAACATTTGATTTTGTTCTGTTGGTAATTTCAATTTGTTGATAGATTTTGCCTATCGGTAATTTCAATTTTTCTTGGAGTGTTTATTAGTTTTAGGGCACCATTAAACTTGTTAATTAAAAAAGAAATTAAAACATTATTGTATATTGATAATTAAGTGTGAAATATTTATCCTGTTAACATTATTTTTATTATACAAAATTATTTAAAGTGTATTTAATACTTAATTATCAAACTATATTTTTTTATTCTAAAATATTAACCTAATAATATTTCATAACTAGTTTGTTAGATATTTTGAGTGTGCAATCTATATTTTTTTCACTGTTTTGTTAATTATTGATAGTGTTTTTATTTATTATTTTTATTCTGATGTTAATTTTCGTTCTCTAAAAAATAGAAAGGTGTTATATGACGTAGTCATTACAGATTATTTTTTATAGTATAATATTTGAAATTTAATATTTATATTTCCTGTGCGATAGCATATTCAATATATTTAATAATTAAAATTATATTTTATTAAATTTGAGAGATTAAGATTTTTTTTAATTTGTAAGATTAAAAAATAATTTATGCCAATTTTAGAATTAAAAAAATTAAATCTATTATTTTTTATTTAACTATATGTTGTGTTGAAAATATCCAATTTTAGGTTTGTTATTGGAATATAGTTATAATAAATTATTTCGACATTAAGCAACGTTAAATATAGTTCTTAATCAATTACTAATAAATGAAATTGAAGCGAAATTTTACTTTCGATTTTAAGGTGAATATCAATATTTTATTTAAAAATAAAAATATTCTAATTTCATATTTATTAAAATAATATTATTATGATCACTTTTTACTGTTTTAAAATTTTAATATATTATAATTTTATTCATGAATTAATATATATATATATATATATATATATATATATATATAATTATTCTCGATTTTAACTATTAAACAAGACTTATCAGTCTATCACTGATGTAAATATTTTTTTGGTAATAATAAAATCAATCAATTTTACAAATTCAACTACTATTACTTTGAATAAACTTCGTAAGAAGAAGGAAGATAAGTAAAATTATATAAGTTTTTTTTTAATTGTAAATTTCCTTAATTGGTAAAAACCTAACTTCTCTCGTCTAGTACATATCTAAAATTATGAGTTTGATTTTGAATGAGGTAATTATTAAAAAAAATTGTTATAAGTTGTATTAATTATCATATAAAATAAATAAAAATATATTATTTATAAGAATTCATAAGAGTTTTTGGGATTAAAACATATTATTTTAATATAAGTTTCTAGGTATATAGTTATTTATATAATTAATTTTGACATATTTTTAATTATAAAATTTATATTCATATAATATATTTTATTTTTAGAAATCTCTATAAATAATTCTGACTAGACAACCCAAAGTAGGTTAAAGTGAATTGTACTTTCACATGTTAATTTACAAAAGAAATTTCACTAATTTTATTTGCAATATTTGAACTGACACATAAACATACCTAAAAAAAAAACTGCACTTAATTATCAAGGTAATAAAGTATCAAAGTTATCATATGATTAAGTTTGAACCGTTAAATGATGATTTATAAACACCTTAAAAAAAATTTGATTTGCATGCATTGATTATATATGCATAACTTATAAGTATAATGTGGAATAAAACAAGCTGTAAAATTTACATTTGAAAGGTTAAGGGTCAAGGGGAAATGTAGTTACTGCATAAATGGTAATAAATAAAAAAACTCTTCCAAATGTTGAAGAAGGAATGGTAAATTGAATAAAAAAAAAAACTTGAATGCACCATCATCATCACATTGAGTCCATGTCTACCCCACCACATTATACAGCTTTTTTCCACCTATTAAACCTAAAATATTAATATCATAAACAATGATGCATGTCGAAAATGTAGGCATGTGATCCCATCAAACTTTTTTGAATTTTGATTGCTCTTTCATGTTCCGACATATTACTTGACCCCAAAAAAAGAGGACAAAAATAGCTCCCAGATAAAGATCCACCTTCACCATGGCTTTCAACTTTTCTCCATACAAATTATAATGTTTTATAAATGTATTGTAAGTTATAGTATAATAGAAAAATTCACTCAATCTAAAACTTATAATTTTATTTTCAACCTAAGATAAACATCATGGCATACATGAATTAGTCTATACTCAGATTTAAGTATACCAAATGTGGAACATACCTATATATAACATAAAATAAATTTAAACAACATGATCTAAGAAATAAACTTGTTCTGTACCTGGAGTTTACTTGAAAGATAATGATATTATTATAAGATATGGGAGGACACTCCTCCTCCTTGAGAGCCATACTTGTAGAACTTAAAAATTGAAAGCTAAGATAGATTTTTACGCCACAGTGGTCTTACATGAAAGATGGGACGGAGTGATTGGATGAAGGCGACAAAATCCCCGGAGGGTACGGGCAGGGATGACCAATAATAGCTGAATGGGGCCTTCCCATTTGCAGGTGTGGAAAATAGAACTACAAACAATGTGATACTCCTCTCACCAATCTACATTTGCAGTAGAAATGGACACCTGTTCACCTCAATACTGTATTCAAAATAATAGGTATCAATTAATTCTTTTTGCTTCTATGTGTAAATAACTAAATAACTACTTTTGGTACATTATGCATATCGTGGAATCATGTAAATGCATTTGTTCAATTTTCTTATTTTTTATTTACTTTATATCTTAATTCATTTTGTATGTGTAATATTTTGTGTCTCAATGAGTTGTATTGTCGGGTGTTTGAACCATGTAATGACTTTTAAGAGATAAAAGCAAGAAAAAAATTATACTAGAAATTATTTATTCTACAGAAATTATATGAAAAAGTTCTTATAAATTAACTTGTGTGTAAACTAACTCTAACTTGAAAAATTAATTTCAAATATTTTGTCTTCTAAAAAGTTATTTGAAATCTCATATCATATCCATTATAAATAATGTCAAAATATACAATATGAGTTTCACTTTACAATTGGTATATTAAACGGAAAAATATATGATGTCAATTTATTTTAACAAAAAAAATTAATAGACAAATTTTAGATGAGAAATGAAGAAAAAAAAACATAGATTATTATTATTATTATTATGATAATAATAATAATAATAATAATAATAAAAGTGATTCTCCTTCAAAGTCTATGCATCTTTAGTTCAATTAATGTTTTTGTACATGTTTATTTTGGTTAAAGTGATTTTGATTTTGATTAACATTAAACATAATTGGGATGTGATCTAAATTAATCTCAATTATAAAATATACCTGGGAAGGTGTAATACATTAAGAGAGAAATAGGTTTTGAAGGTAAAAGCACAGGTAGTATATATATTTCCACTTAAAACTAATTCTGTTCTCTTGTCTACGAAAAACAATTAAAAGATTTCTTATTACGAATACATTTTCACCTCATTAATTGAAATATGACTTAAAAAAAATGAAATCTCACATAAATTTTAATAAAAAAATATTTTATTTATCCTTGAATTATACTCTCAAATAAGTCATTTTAGAATTTATTAAATAATTCACACAAATATAGTGTATATGATCCTCTTTAAATAGAGGTATCTGTGGTGTGATTTTATAGTAGAAAGTCACTAAATCAAATATAAAATTTAAATGTGATTTTGATTTTAATTTTAAAAAAATTGTTTGTTATTTGATTTAGACATTTTTGTAGTTTTTTATTAAATATATTATAATGAAATAATTATTAAATACGAAATATATTATAATAATATCATTATAATATTCATAATTTTATTTTGTTTTCATATAATTTTATATTATGTTTAAATAATAATAATGATAATAATAATAATAATAATAATAAATTATAAGAAATTAATGACCTATTCATCATAAATATTATTTTATATTTTAATTTTAATAATATATGTTATAATTTTTGTTTGGTTCGAATTTTAGTTTAAAAAATTAAATCGAATTGATCAATTTTAAAATTCTCCATTTAAAATATTAAAAAAATCAATTTTGATTGATTTATATTTTTTTATTGATTTTCAGTTTTATTTTTGAATTTGTTCAATTTTTAAACAAACCTAGGTGTGTAGGTTATTTGTGGATTTAAACATTTAACTTGATTTGGCTAATAAATAATAGATCAAAATGAGTTTAACCTTGAATGTAAAATGAGTTTTTTCATGTTAGTTGTTACTTGTTAGACTAGTAAATAATAGAAATAAAAAAAGTGTGATAACATAAGAGATTTTTTCCTTTTCATCATATTCCACGTGCATTAGCGTAAAAATATATCGAAGTTTTATATTTCTTCTAGGGTTTGGACTTCTTCCCGAAGTTGTTTTTATTTATTTTTATGATGATGTTATAGGAGTTCCTTTGAGAGATTTTTTTTTTCTATAAGAAGCTATTGACACTATTATTATAATATTTTGAATATTTCTTTCTTATTTGGATTCAAACATTTATATATATATATATATATAATGTTTTATATCTTAATTTTTTTATTAAAATAAAAAAGCGTAATTAATTTTTTTATTAATTGAGGGAAAGTAACAAAACCCAAAATAAAGACAGAAAACATCTTTTATTGATAAACAGTGTTAGGGCATGAAAAGGTGAAAGAAAGGAAGTGGAATGGGTAGGTTTTGTTTTTTCAACTATTGATGTATCAACTGCCTCTTCATTGATATGTGTTATATATGATGGACAACACTTTTCTAACCAACACCTTTACATGATTCAGAATGAAGAAGAACTTGTGCAGAGTTATGCAGCAATAATGGTCAACACAGAATAATTGAAGGGTTGGTGGTTTCTTGATTTGATGGTTCAACCATCATAATTTTTTTACTGGAGAAGGAAGTAACACTCTATACATGTTATAACCTCTTTTGTTAAATAGTATAATAGTATTTAATTAGAATGTTGTAATTTTATTTAAACATTAAAAACTCTCTATTGTCAAAAACAATAAAGAACATAGGCATTTTATTTATCGTTATCTTAGTTTGTCGTTTAGTTCATATTTTTAATAGTTATTCACAGAAGCATGTTAAAGTTGAGACTTTAGTCTTAATTCATGAAACCAAATATCATACAGCTTTACAAAAAATGTCAGAAGTTTTTACGTTAAATTAATTCAAACTAATATTAATTTATTTCTTAATTAGATGTCCAAATAAATAAGATTGATCTTACTCTTTCATGATTTTATTTTAACATTTAAATCTATCCATAATTAAAGATAAAATATTATTTTCTCACCTTTTAGTTTGATATTTGAATTCTTAAATAATTTTTTATTTATAAGTCAAACATAATTTAAAATTACTTAGTTTAACTATACTTTTTATCTTTTCAATTGAGAAACATACTCCTAATGTTGACATTTGATTTACTTTTAACAAAAATATACACATGCTTGTGTTTTATTTATTTAATTGAATGAGCTAAATTAATCATAGTGAATATATGAGGGTAAGCAAAGATAATAAAATAACATATGAATATAAAATTATGTAACAATAGTGCATTTTAAAGATGAAATTGCAATTTCATATTAACTCTACATATTTTTATATAAAAAACTAAATCTTTATATTATATACATTACTCTTTTTTTATTCATTACTTTAACGATGATAATTTAATAAATCAAATAGTATTTTTAATGAAAATCACAATAGTGTAAAAATAGGCGATTTACATTGATAACATAAAATATTTTTATTCAATAAAAAATTACAGAATATATATGTATTATAAATTTATAATCATTATTGTAAAAGTTTTCGATAATATATTTTTTGTTATTAATTTACAGGGCAAAACATAACGCGATTAATTGCGTTGAAAAGTTTACATGATGTGTTTGGTGAGTAGCAAATGAATAAGTAAATGTTGTTATACGTAGCTACCTTAATCGAGCTTAAATAATTCATTGTTGACTCATTCTAAAAACTTGTCCAAACATGCAGCTGCTTAATTTGTGCTAACTTTTCACAGCATTTATTAAAGTGTAAGATTAGTTTATATTCAGCAAAAATAAATTTTTAAATATTTTGAGAAGTTATTTTGGGTATTTATAAAAAAATATTAAATAAATAAAAGTAATGATTAACTATTGCCTAAAATTTGAAATAATAATCGCACTAGTAATTTATTTTTTATAAATTCATATTTGAAATCTTGAATCTTTTATTCAAACTTTTGATTACTAACTAAATCCAATAAAGGTAACAACAAAAATTTAACTCACAACAAGAAATATCTTAAAAACAAAAAAATGCACATTTATAACTCAAGGGGATTATTCCAACATTTCTATAATACGTGAAATTAAGAAGACTTACATATCTTACCAACAATAAATATAATTATTATATTAGAGCTGTCATATTAAGTAAAAGATTTTAATGGTTTAATTTAGCATATATTTTAAAACAGATTAAAATTTGTAGTTTAGTTTAACTTTAGGTTAAGAGTCTTGTCTGATTAAATTAAAAAAATATTGACATATCTATATAAAATTAATTAATTAAAAAAATATTTAAATTAAAATTAAAATTTTATTAATAAATATATAAATTATAAAAGAATGTATCTATTAAATCTTAAAATAAGAATTAAAACCTTATTTTATTATTATTATCTAATTTTAATAATTTATTAATTTAAAATAGTAATTAATCTTAATCATTAGATTTGGAATAAGGAATTAATAGAGATTTATAATATTTATTCTTATAATAAGTAAATTTCTGTTAAATTAATTTATAATATATATATATATATATATAGTTAAATAAAATTATTTTTATTTTTATTTTTATTTAAAAAATAATAATTATTTTATAAAATAGACACATAAAATTAGAGATTAGCTAACCTAAACTTACATAGGTAATAATTTAAATAGGTCAGATCAAAATAGATTTGATTTAATTTAGATTTTTTTGTTTAACATTATCTATTTCTCATATATGTTGAGTTGGTCCATCCGACTAAATCTATTTTAACATCTCTAATAATTTTACTGTATGGTAAGATGTGATATATATGATTAAATTAAAAAAAATAATATTATATTAGTTTTAACTTAAAAATAATAATAGGTACTTTATCGTGATTTTATTTTATTTTATTTATATTTGATAATTAATATTTTAAGGACTAAATAATATATTATTGATAAATAAATAAAAAGTATAAAAATATAAAATGATGAAAGATAAAACCGATAAATATACACAAAAATAAATTTAATAATTATTAAATTCAAATACCAAAATCAAGTTATTTTAGGGTCATTACCCATTAAACTTCCAAAGAGATCATTATAGGATTTTATATATATATATATATATATATATATATATATATATATATATATATATATATATATATATATATATATATATATATATATATACTCATTTTAAATTAAAATATTACATTTCTAAAACAAAATATCTCTTAAAATAAAATACAAAGTACAAGTTATAAAAAAAATCACTATAATTTATAAAAAATACAATATAATCTCTATACGGGCACAAAATATACATACAATAAATCACAATAAACCAAATAAAAATCCTGCGAATAAGAAAACAATTGAAAAAACTTAAAATAAAGTTACTACTAAAAATGAAGAATCTATTAAAAAATAAACTCAGTGAACAAATTCCCAATTGCAATTAAAAAATCTACACTCTTATTATGGGATGCAAAAAGTTTTATCCTTTCCCTCTCTTATTTGTGGCATATTTTAAGTAATAATTATCTCACACACGATATTAGAATAACTTGTCTTCTCTTAAATAAATAAATGAACTTTGACTAAGGACCGTCATCATGAAAAATGCCTCCTTCGACTCTATTAATTGCAGCATCCTGTACTTGATTTTATCTAATGCTCTTTCTTCTGATTTTGAAAAATCCAGAATTTACGTGCATTTGTATAAATTTTAAGTTTAAATTATAAATGACAAAAAAATAAAATTATAATATGAAATTGGATTAAATTCATTGACACAATAAAAAGTTATAGAATAAAAACTGTTAGACATAAAATATTCAAAAAATTAATATCATATGTAAATCTAAAAATAATTATAAATTCACACTTTTAATAATTTCAATGTCACCATTTCCTTATCCATGCATCAAGAGTTACTATTTTAAGACTACTAGTTCCTTCACTTTGAATCAATGATCCTATTCATTTCCAACAACATCTCATAGTTTACTGATATCTTCATTATAACTCTTGGCTCTTCATTAAAAGAAGATTATATGTATATAACAACCATATATAGTTCCAACAGATAGAAATAAGTACTCAATAAGTATGCAGGTACACATAACCCTATTTATGTAGCTAGGACTTGACTTTGAAGAGTGCCATACCATAGAAGGCCTAGCAAATCCGTGTAATGTAGGGTATTTCGTAACCGGACAAGAGAAAGCCATATTAGAATAAGCTATTTAGTACATACATACAACACATAAGTATAACCAATGAGATGGATTTCAGATCGTATATAACTTCAAAACTGGTATGAAATAGGAACGAAGATGAAGTTGTGAAGAATTTTTGATGGAATATACTTCTGGTTGGAAAACTGAAAAGCTCATGGTGGTAGCACAGAAATAGGGACTCATGACAGCGAAGAGATGAGAGGACCTGGGTTAAGTTTTCCATTCAAAGAGCAACAATCCCACATGACCTTTTCAGACTCAACTTAGCCAAAAGTTGAATGCATAGGAAATAGACAGCTTGATGATCTTTTGATGCTGTGCCTTATCTATCTTAGATTTGACTATTGTGTGAGAGAGAGTGCTATAAGGGTTCGTTCAACACAATAATATAATGGTGTAGATGAAGGACCACTAAGCTTTGGTTAATTAGTTTGCCCTTTTGTGTTTGCATTTATATGCATGCATGGCAATGCCGTGTTCCAGTACACATCCATGTTTATCACCATTCTTCCTAAGTGTGTGTTTGTTCGTGTTCAACCCTCTAAGTAGCCCCCACCCTCATCATGCTTTCAGCTCATTCTCCTTGCCTCTTTCTGGGTGCAACAAATGCTTTTAATGAACGTAAAGGACCATGAGCCAAAATAATTTCTCCTGTTTTATTTTGCTTCCTGATATTTGATGCAACAAAGAGTGGTTCAAACTCCACATCTGAATTTCTTTCCTCAACTTTTAATTGGTATAGTTGTAATGTTCTTAGGATCATTATATAATATTGTTGGTGTATTCTTATAGTAATATACTTGTGGTTTGATCCTTTATGCACACAACATCACGTGAAAACATGATGGCCATAGGCCCATAGCTAACATTATGCACATACTCTTCATTTCCTCTTCTTATTCTTCTTCTTTTTCCTTCATGTTGTAACTCACTGTGAAAAATCTTATTCAAGACGTAGTTACTTGAATACTAAACATGAGCTTCTGTCTCACTAGCTATAGCATCTTTTGCTAAACCCAATTTCATTTTGTGTTATGTATGTTTTAACATAATGACAAAAACATTAGAAAAAGACAGTAGTATTTTGTTTAGATTACAATTATATATATTTAATTTTTAAATGATGTTATGAGAACGATGATTTTTTTGTAGAGGACAGATTCAGCATGGACAATAAAAACAATAAGAGGGAATGGAAAGTTGACATTTTATTGTTGACAAGCTTGAGACACTCATGACACAGGTGACCTAAATGGGCATGTCATGCATGTGGTGCATCATACTTTTTGTTTATTATCAATATGCAGAGCAGGCACATGGAAATATATAGGTAAATCAAACTCAGCAGTAATTTTTAAGACATACACAATCATATCCTTTCTCCAAGGTACATATAATGTCACAATCTTCATTTAACACCTACCCCTGTATGAAGAAGTGATCATGACAAAGACATACACAAATTTTGATTCGCCAACGAAACACTAATATTTGGTCCAATCATAAAGTTTGACTATTGATAATCCTCTTATTAATAATTTAGTAATTAATATTTATTTTGTTAGGACATTACGTTCAATTAATTTTTATTTTTCTGTTTCTATTATATATTTCTCTCTCAATACTATATAAAAAACCTTTTCCATTAATAGTAGTATAAGAACTACAAGAAGATCTGAAGAATTAATGTTCATAGAGTAAGAAATGAGTAACTAGATAACATGTTCCTATATTAGCTAACAAGATTTTGAATAATTATAATTATTAGTGTGTAAAGATTAAGATAATTTTTGTACGCGACGAGCTATTGAAGAATCCTACCAAAGCACAACGTACTATGTTTCGTGATATAAAAAAATGTGATAGTAAAACCTTGTTTTATATTCATTAATGTATTGATAAAAGTAATATTTAGAAGATTTCATTGACGAATACAACAAAAGAAATCTGAAATATACTAGTTTTTAGAGTTATATATGAATGGAGAAGTTGAAGAGGATGCGACTTTAGACCTTCTGTCGTTAGTATGAATTATTTTAGATGAGAATTCAAGAAATAATTCAAAATACTTTACAAGGTTACTCACTCTCACAAATTTGATGAAATCAGTGGTGGATTTTTATTATAATAAAATTATATTTAAATACATATATTTTTTTTAATAGTGTTATTGATTGTACTTTTTATTATAACTTTTTTAAGTAGTACTTAAAATAATTTTTTATACATGATATTTAATTAATAATTTTAAAAATAATTTTTTTTATAAAACAATTTATATTTATTTTTATTAAATTTTAAGTAAAGATAAATTTAATAAATCATTTTATTAATATATATATATTTTTTATTTCAAATCAATTTTAATTTTTTCTCTCATTTATTTTTAGTTTTCATTCTCTTTCTCTTTCTCTTAATCAGAAAAAAAAATTTAAACATTCATAGAAAATATCTAAAATTTATTTTTATACTTTATATAAAAATTTAATTATATCTCAAAATTTTATATATAATATAAATTAATTATTTTATATTATATTATATCATATTTATACTTATTTTATCTCTTATCAATACAGAGTATTTATATTTTAGTTATTATATACTTTATATTATTATTTTAATGTTTTATTCAATTTTATCAATTTCATCTTCTATAATCTTTTCACTCCTTTCACTCCAATTTCTACACTCTTTCCATTAATCCAAACAACCCTAATTTTTATTATTATTTTTTTCATTTCCTCAAATTCACTCTTACTCTTCTTTTTCACTCTTTGAAGCCCGCGCTGCAATCCAAACATGGCATAAGTAAATTACATTTATGAGTATATCTAACTTAATTTATTTATTTTTCATTTTTTGGAATATGAATCTTCTAATATTATTCTATATAAATACTTGTGTAATTCTTACTTTTGATGTTGTGAAATATTTCAGTGGGTGGAACTAACTTCGATTTTTACTGGTGAAGAGTTCCGTGGACTAGAGTAGGTATTCCAAACTAATGATTCTAACATGTTGAGTTTTGGTTCAGTGTTAAGCTTTTGTAACTTCTTTTCATTTACACCATTTCTGGGATGCTGATCTATGATGGATAGATAATTCAGCAACAGGTACTGTAGAAGCTTCAGACAATCATGAAGAAAACCACGACATCATTTTACGCAACAATGACACCATCAACTTGTGGGCAAACTCGTGATGTTATTGTCGTGTTCCTAACAACACTTTAAAAAAAAAAAAAACTTAAATTTCTTTTTATATTAGCCCTACTTAATCTCGTACATTATTATACTAAAATACTATTTTAATAGACATCATTAAATAAAAGCATGGTTGATCGTGTTATTAACACAATCTAACTTATTTTCACATATATACTTTTTATTAAATTCTTTGGAGATTATTTATCTTAAATATATACTTTTTTATTAAATTTTTTGGAAATTATTTATCTTAAAGCATCTTTATGGGAATTTTTATAAGAATCCATCTTAAGTTGTTAAGTGAAACTTGCAGTGGTACATCATATCCAAGTAATTCTTTTTAAATTTTTACAAATTCACTCCAATGTTAAATTTTTATAAGTGATTCATCATTCAACTATCACTTTTGACTTTAATGGGATATGTTATACCACGTCACTACAAATTATAATATATAATTAATTATTAAAATAAAATAAATATTATATTTAAATTAACAAAAAATTAACATTGAAAATACAATTAACATTAATTAAAATACAAAATATTAAACAACAATTACAATAAAAATAAACAGAAAAGTATTAAAAATATGAAAAAAATTAAGAAAAACAACTTTTAGCAAAGTTGCTTTTACAATATATTGTGCTTAACTTTTCAAAATTATTGTTGCCATATCGGATTGCTCAAACGACGGTTTCTTGTAAACACCGTTGCTTATAAGTATTAGGGGTCATAAGCAACTTCCGTTGGAGTTGCTCTTAGGTATTATTTCTTTTTAAGTTTCTATCGTTACGATTTTACTTTTAAAATACATATAAATTAAATTAAGGAGCGTGTATATAAATTTTTATGACCTTGACTCTTAAGTGATATGAAACTCATAAGTAATATGAAATTCATGAGCGTACTGAAATATAAATTCATAGTCGAAAATTAAGAGATTTGAGTGGAGCGAGATTGTGCTCTCGACCCATGGTGAACATCAATGTTCCATCTTAGAACGAGAGTGTCTCAATTTTATATTCGTTATCATAACATCGATAGAATCAATGAATTTCTATGTTCAAGGTATTGTCCGCTTTTGAGTTCTTATCTATCATTATTTTATCTTTAAAAAAATGTATCAGCAGAAGGAGGAAGAATGATATATATAAATTATCTTTAACCTCAACTACTAAATAATATCGACCACCATACGAGAATAAATAAAAAAAGATTTGTTTTTTTTTTACATGTGACTCATAAGCATATAGAAAATGACATGTATACGGAAGAATTAATATGGCATGAAGAGCTCCTTCTTCACTACAGAATGCTGAACTGAACGTGTGAGTTTGTGTCACACATTGAATGCATCATCACAAGGCTTTTGTTGAAAAAGAAGATGAAAAGAGTAAAGGCTCCACCGTCCATTATCTGAACTGTGATGGAAAATAGTTTTTATAAATAGTTTCTGAGATTAATTTTAAAATTTGTTTTTAAAATTAAATTGATTTTTCATAAAATCTATTTTCAAAATTATTTTAAAAGGAAGAGAATTATTCAAAATAATTTTAATAACTTTATAGTGATATAATGTGATCATCGAAAATAATTGGTACCGATTTTGAAAACTAAAATAAAAAATATCTTTTATTAATTTTAATTTTTAAAAATTATTTTAACAAAATAATTATCAAATACGTTTTTTAGTTTTTTGAAATTAAAATATTAAAAATTATTTTAAAAAATAGTAAATAAACAAATTCTTGGTATTCCTGTTTTGTGTTATGTGTTCTATCTGTTTCTGAAATTTCAAAGCATGAGTGTCTAAGATAGAGTTCTACATGAGACAAATATTATATAGTGTGTTATTACACCACTAGCACCAGTGGTCTAGTGGTAGAATAGTACCCTGCCACGGTACAGACCCGGGTTCGATTCCCGGCTGGTGCATCGTGAGAGCTGTGATGTGAAATGTACCTGATTGATGGGTCAGTCGGTGTTCATCTCTTCAATATGGATGAGTACATTCTTCTACTGAGCTCTCATTTTTTTTATTTGTTCAGTTTCTGTTACCTCACATTTTACTTTATAAGTAATTTGTTAATTAAATCTACATTTTCATATACTTTAATTACTTCAATATAAAATAATTACGCATTTAGTTTAAGATTTATAAATTTTATATAGATGAAACAACTAGACATCACACATAGCTGACATCATTATAAGAAAATGTACACTTCTTGACGAAATATAATCCATTGATAAATTTAAATTACGAACATATTTTCTGTTGATAGTTTACAATTTTTTGGTAAATGTAATCCTGTACCGATAAAAATATTCGTCAGAAAATTTGTAAGAAAATTTTGTACCATTTTAATAAAAAATAATCTACGATAATATTGGTAATTCGTAGGTAATGTAAAAAAAGTCGTCAATAATATTAACAAATTCATCAATAATATATAATAATAATAATAATTAAGATAAACTTTTTGTTCAATTAAATGTTATATATATAAACATTGTAAAAATGAATGCTATAAAATAAAATCTAAAAAGTTTTTAAAATTATTTTTTCTGAAATAAATAAGGATGCAAAATGATTTAAATTATAAAAACAAACTTTAAAGATTTAATTGATGAAGAATAATGCATGACTAAAAATTATGTTAATTAGATATCAAAACATGAATCATGTATACTATTTAAAATTTTATTTTTAATTAAGGAAAAAATATATAATTTATATAAATTAAAGTAAAAAGGAGATTCCTCAAACAAATGAGATTAATGAATAATTTAATCATTTGTTAATATAGTTAGTTATACATTACCTTTTCTTAATGCACAAAATTCTTTTTCAACAACACTTAAACCAACACGAATTGAATGAGCACAATTAAAAAGATGTCTATGGATAACAAAAAAATCACCATGAAAAACACAAAATAACTATCAACAATAAATAATTAAGACAGAGAAGATCCACAACAGCCAAATTCTTTCTCATAATTATTCAAATTATTAGATAGTACTAAAAACAATTATTAAACTTATTTATCATCTATGTAGTTCACACTTAGATTATAAACTTGATATGATGTTAGTATTATAAGAAATGTTATTGAAATGATTTGGTTAAATTTATTGTCCAATCACATAAATTGAATAACATTATGGTTGTTTGATGATAATAATGATGGATTGAGGAATTTTTATTATGGTGAATTAATTATGATGAAGGTGTACGATATGCATTATATTCGAAAAAAATAAAAGAATTACCGACAAATTCTTTCGTAGGTAAGTTCAATGTTGATCACCAACAAAAATTCAGTTTATTTGCTGACGAATAAACTCATAAATAATTTTTTACATCGATATTCATCAATAATTATCCACAAAATTATGTATGAATTTTTTGGTTAGTGATTACTAATATAAAATAATCTGTCGATAAATTCTACTATAACAACAAAAATATTGTTTTTGTAAATCTGTTAAATAAAACTATTTATCAGCAAAAATTATTTGTTACTAACAAAGACATAATCCATAACAATACCCAAAAGTTCTTATAGTGATATAGCAATCAAATTTGCTTAAAAATGTCATACATAAAGAGCATTGAGAGACTTATTTTAACCATTTTTCATGTTAGACTAATATTTTCTTGCTCAATAAGTAAACAAATAAAAACATACGCAGAAAGTTAAGGCATTAAGGGATTGCAATCTTTCTCTTCTTCATCATTCAATGTCCCTTTAATTACTTTCCTTCCATTGAGGCCTCTTATGTCATGAGGATGATGATTAGGAAACTGATCCAAATAATACTTAGACATCATGGAATAGGTAATGATTGCATTGCAAGTATCTTTCTCTACTTTACTTGGAGTGGAAGAATTTCACATCCATAATATTTCCTTTTAGCTATTTTTTGAGCAATGGGTCCTAAATCTTTCACAAACAACATTAAGCTATCTTTGTAACCAATATCATCTTCACCAACCTATATAAAGATAAGAAAAACAACAATGTATGATTATTCCACACTACAATTATATATTAATTTATTAAATTGAATTTATACAATATTAGTCAAGGAGAAAAATAATACTCACATGCTCAATAAATTTTAGTTTACCATGTATTGTCGAAAATATTGATTTATCCTTATTAAAGGATAAAGATTTATAAACATGGCGCTTATCTGTCTCGAAACATTTGCATCTTGTACTCTTTTTATTACCTGATAAAAAAAATGTTGTTAGATAAATAATGTTATCTTTTTTTTTTTTTAAATCTTCAAAAATATACATATACAAAAGTAAATTTTTGTAACAAAAGACACGTGAGAAATATTGCAACTAAGCTTAAGATGGGTCAAAGGAGTTTTGTTTATTTTTTCATATATGTAAATTTACAACTAGTACAATGTTCAAAGAAGTAATAGGTTGGTAAAATATCAAATTAAGTATAGTAAAATAAAAATTAAAGACATAATAAACCTAAAATTCATGAAAAAAAATTCAAAGCTAATAAATCATTTATGTTTTTACTTGACGACACACAATGTCTAAATGCAAAATCACCATTCAATTTCAAGGCATCAATATAAATAAAATGCAACAAAATTTGTTATAAAAAATTGATCTTCCACTCTTACCTACATTAATCTCAACATCTTTAGTGTCAAGATATTGATTTGAGGGCACAGTGATAATTATTTCACTAGATTTCAGGTTCGTTGAATATCTAAAATCTCCTTGGTTTCTCCGACCTATTTTTTTTCTTGGTTCTGAGAATTCGATTTCAAACTTCTTGGGGTCGTTCTTTAATAAATCAAAAACTTTCTTAGCCAATTCATTTATAACACGAGCCTGCAAAATGAAGAGTTAATAAATAGTTTCCTTAAGATATATTAGAGACTTTATAACAAAGCTTGGAGCCAAAAGTTTAGTAGTTTTATATTCCATACCTGCCTAAAATATATGGTACCAGAAGAATTAAAACGCATTGCATTGTCAAATATTAGAAAAACATCATGCTGCATAAATGGTCAAATAGTGTTAGATCAAAGGAAGGGAAAGCCACAAGAGTATATAGAAAATAAAGGTTGTTGTTAACCTCAAATTGTTCTAGTGTCTTGTACATCCTTTCATGCAGTTTAGCTCTCATGGTGCCAAAATCCATAGGATCTTTAATGATTGCATAATAATCCTCAACCTTAGCACATAATTCCATAAAAAAGTGAATTATAAGAAAATATTATATAATAATATCCATAATATTAATATTAGGACTAACTGTGGCCACACACCTCATTTGGATCAACTGGTTCAGAAAATATTTCATATGTGTCTTTCCTGTACGAGTTTAAAATATTATATTTAAATTTCTACAGGTAATATAGTTTTAAAATGATACACAATAATGATAAAAGTAATGCACACCTTTGTAGAATGTCAAGTACAAGTTGAAGTATTCGTTTTTCTGGCAGAAAACTTGCAGATGACAATTTTGATGGTTTATCTGATGCATCATCAATCATGTAATAAATGGAATGCATTGGAGAATCTTAAAAAATACAATTTTAATCAAGAATATTGTCACCTCATTTGAGGAGCAAAGTAATTTAAGTGAGAATATCTTACTCACCATCATAACTTTTCTTTTGAATATCATAATGGCTATAATGTTTCAAACCCTACACAAATGAGTTTTTATAATGAACTAAAATAAGGTTCAAACAAGGTGTGTAAAATGCAATGTAAATAATAAACAATACTTGGTTTGTTGAAGGTGTGAATTGTTGAAGTGATCTCAGTTTTGTGTTCTTCCTGCCCCTGGTTCGAAATGCAGGTCCTTGGTCATTTTCCAGGTGTTGCCTTAATAAATGGTCATGATCAGCCTCAACTTCCGGTGCAGATAATCGTGGGCTTCTTCTTTGCCCCTCAATTTTTTGCAATTTTCTGTCAAAGAAAACAATTCTATAAATGTAATGTTATGCAGGACACGATTTACTAGCAAAATGAAAGTGAAGATTGGACTCACCTCAATCTACTCATCTTGCATTAGCAAAGAGTGTAGAAGATCAAGCCTTTTTAAAAAATAGTGAACATAGGAACCATGTTATGTCCATTTATATTCAATATTTAATGTGTTGATTACTACTCCATTTGACCTTAAGCAATATCATATTTAAAAAATACCCAAAACAATTGTAATATAAATATCGAGATATGAGAATTATTTGATCATGATTTTGTAGTAATGTGTATGGGACACAAAATGGATAGTTCCTTTTTTTTATCTTTATAATGTTTAATCTTCATTTAATGACATGTTAACCAAATATTTTTTTCATGAATTTTAAATCTCCTTTTACAATTGAGATCTAATATTGCGTTGAATTTTGGGTTGAAAATATTTTTTTGTATATAAATAGAAATATATACTTTTAAGAAAAAAATAATTTTTTTAATTTATATTTTTAAACTGTGTTCTCATTTTCAAAATTTTAAAAATAAATAAAAATATAATGGTTTTGACTTGTAATTTTTCTTGAAAAAAAAAACACATTAATTTTTGTTTAATTTGATATCTTTATAAAATATAAATATTATGTATAATTAAAGAAAAATGATAGGAATATTTTTATATTTTTTTATCATTGAACAATTTACTACGAATAAAACAGTATATAAATTTATTAAATGTTTTATTTATAACAAAGTTAATAATAATGAATTTGTTAAAACTGATTTCATTGATTTAATATATGATAGAATAAGTAATGTGTCATTATATTTTCAAACAACGTTAGGGTTGTTCCATCGTCCTCTTCACCGGTTCCGGTGCCGTCACCCTCACTGCAAAATCACCCCGTTGCTCTTGCCTTCCCAGTTCCTCAACCGGTAAGTCAACACGTGCATGCTACTTTCCGGCATAAGAAACTCGTTTTGTTGCTGCCACTGTCCTTGACTCTACCCGAACCAGGACGTAGGTTCCTCCGTCACATGAAGGCTTTCACAACAGATAACTGTGATCTCTAGCACCGTACCAGAGCTTAACCCTATAAATACTGAGTTAGTCTAATAATAAGTGTTGCGTGAGGAGAATTTAAGTATGTCTTGAACTTAGGGAGAAATACCAGTGAAAAGGACGTATAACTTATTATTTTAAAAGTATTGGGTTAAAAATAGTGTTAATTAGATTTATATTTTATTTTCTTTTGTCAATCTTTTAAAAAATTAATAATAATATTAGAGTCGATAATTTATATAATCACTAATAATTTAAGATTGTATTCGACGAGATGTATAAACTTAAAAAAATTCACACTTAAAAGGGATATGATTGAAAATTTCAAATGTAAATCTGACACATGTTGAAAAAGTTGAACTAAAATTTATAATTTAATATTTTAAAGTTTTAATATATTTTTTTTTCTAAGATAATTTTATAGAATTATGTTAGTGAGTTATTCGTTGTTGTTCTTCTGGAGAACATGAAAAATAAATAATAATAATAATAATAAATTTGGAAATGTGAGGAAAGAAGAAGAGAGAAAAATATGGAATTGTTTGGGATTTGAGCATTGTCTGTTACGTGTATTGACTTTGACTTACTTTGAAGAGAGATGACACCAAAGAGAACGCACCCTACTACGCTGTTTGGTTGAATCATTGTATTCGAATAATTCGATGGTGTTTTGCGTCCTCGCTGAATCAACCTTTGGGAACAAGTTCACGTTCCTTTATCTGAGATCACAAAACAACGTTCAATGTTATGTTGTTTTGGAAAGAAAAATATATATAAAAACTAGTAATATGTAACAATCTATATATTAAATACTTTAATATTAACAAAATATGTTTTTTTACGTCTCTTTGTTTTTTTTTTAAATATATTTTTATCACATTATATCACTTAATTAAATATAACTTATGTATTCTTGAGATATTTTACTAATTATTTTATAAATTAATTATTATCTTATAATTTATTATTATTTTAAATATTTAAATTTATTATTATTTTAAATATTTAAATAATTAGTTTTTTATAAGAATTAAAATCCAATCTCATATATTTATTAGTTACATATATAATTATCAAGGCATAAAGCTTAACATATTAGTTTCTATACCTGATCTAAGTCAGAATAATTTAACATATATATTAGTTTCTAAGTCACAGTAATTTAACGTGATCTAATATAATATAATAAAGAATATCATATATTTGATAAAAACATAATACCAGATGTACTGAGAGGTTCTAAAAGTTTTGTAATTTATATTATATATACAATTTTTTGTTTTGCACTCTTATTTTTCTACTCTTTCCCCTCTTTATATGCTCTTCAACTTCTTGCATGGTAATGGAACCTTGAGAGAGTGGATCACAAAATCACTACCCGTGATATGCTCCACTGTCCATGATGTTTCACAATCCCCGGAAGATTCAGATATAAACATTGTTGGCTAAGATTACGGTAGAAGTTGATGAATGTTATTGGGATTATGGGGAAGTTGTTGAACATTAGCAGAGACGTGGGGAAGTTTAGCAATGTGAATGCTACTCTTTTGCAAAGATGAATTTCTTACCCATACCACCACACCCATAAATAGACCATCTCACATTTCCCAAAATACAATTATTCATTCTCTCGTCACTTCTCTTCTCACCTTTTTATTTTCTTCTTGTCCTATGTTTTATTTACTAGGTTTTGAGTTTCTCAAAAAAGCCCAGGAAATTCTTGTTGTATTCTGGAAGACTTGTGTAATACACTGCAGATAAGTCTTTAAGTACAGTGATTGTACAAGCTTCAAAAATAAAGACTTGTTTGTGTTCTCGAAAGATTTTACAACAATCTTAGGGACATATAGATAACAAAATGAATACCAACAATAACTCTACATCGAAAAAGACCAACAATAACTCTACATCAAAAAAGACAAACAACATTTCCAAAATTTAAACTATCTTTGTGAAACCTTTCTCGGACATTTCAAAAATAAAAGTTTTCTCTGGACAAAACTTTCGACGCTAGTAGGAACACATTTCTACTCTGTTAGACATGTATGGAGTGACTTCCGCTCTTACAACCTGACTCCAAACTCCTACTAAATAGATTGAAGACTGGATTCATTCAACACTTTGCTTAGTGCATTATCTAATGATTTGTTCGATGTGCATTGTTTCTATAAAGAAGTCAAAGATATTTGGGTTGCGTTGATTCTCAAATACATTGTTGAAGATGTTCGTAAGATAAATATTCGTTATCGAAAACTATTACCGTTGGGAGAAACTAGAAGACAAGGACATCAAGATCCAAATTAACGAGTACCACAAGCTGCTTGAAGATATTAAAGCAGGAAACATAGTCCTACTTGATGAATTCGTTTCAGAACTTCTAATCGAAAAACTTTTGAAATCCTAGACAGGCTATAAACAACATCTGAAGCACAAACATAAACAAATGTCACCGTCGGATCTTATCACACACATCATTGTCAAAGACACCAACCAGAAGGAGTGTCTTGTTGCAAGGGCTAAGACATTATTAACTAAGACAAATATGGTAGAATCCAAAAAGGTAAAAAAAAATGATCATAAAGAAAAAATAATTTTAAAAATTTTCGTCCCAATGGATCTAACCCACCTTGAAGAAGGAAATAAATTGTTTTGTCTGTGGAAAGTCATGTCATGATGCACCTCACCACAAAAGTAGAATAAGAAACGACAATTTTCCTAAGATAAATTTAGTCAAAGGAGAAGATACAATTGTTGCAATCATTTCCAAAATAAAACTTGTGACAAATGTGAGCAAATGAGTAGTAGATTCTAGTGCTACTAGACAGATTTGTACAAATAAAAATACTTTTACCTCCTAAACTAATGTGGGGATGAAGAAGAACATGTTTATCTCGACGATTCTAGGACAACTCTTGTCCTAGGAAAAGTAAAAGGTTTTCTAAACCTCACATTTGGGAAGAGTCTGACCTTGAGTGATGTGTTATGTGTGCCATCAATCAGAGTTAATTTAATCTTCGTAGCACTGTTAGGAAAAGTTGGGATTAAAATGTCATTTGAATATGATAAGATTGTTATGACAGAAATAATGTGTTTGTGGGGAAGAGATATTGTGATCAAGGTCTTTTTGTGCTTAACATCTCTGAAGATGTTAATAAATCTATTTCTTTTACTTATATTGTTGATTCATATGGTGTGTGACATGCTAGATTAGGACACGTAAATTCCTCGTATGTTATAAAATTGCAACGACTAGGATTAATGCATATGTATGATAAACAAAGTAGGAAATGTGACGTATGTGTAGAATCTAAAATAACAAAAAGATGTGTTATTCAGTAAAATGCCAAACTGGACTTTTAGGATTAATTCATATTGATTTAATTGATCTAAAACAAACAATGTCTAGTGGTGGTAAAAATATTTTGTAACATTTATAGATAACTACTATAAATACACAAAAGTATATTTAACAAAAAATAAGGATGAAGCGTTTGACATGTTCTTAACCTATAAAGCGAAAGTAGAAAATCAATTAAACAAGAAAACTAAGAAGATTAAATCAGATATAGAGGTGAATATGTATTATATTATAATTATTGTGTTAAAGAATGTATTGTTCATGAAGTGACCTCACGTTATTCACTTGAGTCTAATGGTAGCTAAGAGAAAAAAATAGAACTCTTAAAGAAATGATGAATGTCGTGCTTATTAGTTTTAATATACTTGATAACCTTTAGGGAGAAACCTTACTTACAACTTATTTTTTACAAAATAAGATACCACATAAGAAAACTGATAAAACTCCCTATATGAGTTATGGAGAGGTAATCAACATAATCTTAAATACCTAAGAGTGTGGGGGTGCCTAGCTAAGGTAATGCTACCCGATCTTAAGAGAAAAAAAATAGGCTCTAAAACTTTTGATTGCATGTTCTTAAGTTATGCGAAACATAGTGTTGCCTATGAGTTTCTTGTCCTTAAAGTGATGTATTGGGCATAATACCATAGTGAAGACAAAAAATGTTGAGTTCTTTGAACATATTTTTCCTTTAATGGATAGTGAGACACCTAAACAACTTATAGATATTAATAGTGATGACATGTATAAGACTTTGAGCAAAAGTAAAAGTTAGAGAAAGGAAATCTCCTTTAGAGATGACATTTTCACTTATCTATTTGAAAATGATCTATTGAGTTTTTTAGAGGCTACTAATGCTCCTCTTGCAACACATTAGGATAAGACTATTAGAATTAAATTGACTCAATAAAAAAAATAATACTTGGATCATAGTAGATTTGCCTAAGAGAGCAAAACTCATTGGTTGTAAGTGGATATTTAAGAAAAAGTATCATGCCAATAGATCCATAGATAAATATAAGGTAAAATTAGTAGCAAAGAGCTTTACTCAAAAACTAAATATTGATTATTTTGATACCTTTGTCCCTGTGACTAGTATTTTCTCTATTTGAGTTTTATTAGCTCGGACAATTATCCATAAGTTAGTTATACACCAAATAGATGTTAAGACTACCTTTTTGAATGGTGAATTAGAGGAAGAAATTTATATGACTCAGCCTGAAGGGTGTTAAAACTGTCTTTCTGAATGGATCATTCGGTGGGGTTTATTAAAGAAGGAAGAGAACACATGGTGTGTAAACTTAAGAAATCAATATATGAACTTAAACAAGCTTCTCGATAATGGTATCTTAAGTTCAATGATATTATTCTGTCATTTGGATTTAAGGAATACATTATTGATCAATGTATATATCTGAAGGTCAGTGGGAGCAAGTTTATATTTTTTATTCTGTATGTTGATGATATCTTGTTTGCGACTAATGATCTTAGTCTATTAAGTGAGACTAAGAAGTTTCTCTTTAACAAATTTGAAATGAAAGATATGAGTGAGACATACAATGTGATAGGAATAGAAATATTTTATGATAGATCACAAGGGCTGTTAGATTTATCTTAGAAAATATATATTAATAAAGTTTTAGAGAGATTCATAATGGAGAAATGTTCAACATCTCCTGTTCCAATACAGAAAGGAGACAAATTTAGTCTTATGTAATGTTTAAAGAATGACTTGAAATAGAAACAAATGAAAAATATCCCTTATGTATTTGTTGTTAGGAGTTTGATGTATGCTCAAACATGTACGAGACCAGATATTAACTTTGTAGTTGGTATGCTGGGTCGATACCAGAGTAATCCTGTAATGAATCATTGGAAAGCTACAAAGAAAATCTTAAAGATACTTACAAGGAACAAAGAATCACATGCTTACTTATAAGAAAGCTAATCACCTTGAGGTGATTGGATATACAAATTCAGATTTTGCTGGTTGTATGGATACACAAAAGTGCGAAGCAGTCTGTCATTGTTGCATCTACCATGGAAGCTAAATCCGTGACATGCTTTGAGGCCACAGCTCAAGCTAATTGGTTGCGAAATTTTATTTTAGGACTTGACGTAGTCGACAACATTGTTAAACTGCTGAAAATTTATTGTGATAATTCCGCAAGAGTCTTGTTTTCTAAGAACGATAAGTATTCCAAAGTTGTTAAGCATATGAAATTGAAAAACTTTGCCGTTAAAGAAGAAGTTCAGAAACAGAGAGTGTCAATAAAACATATTAGCACTAATCTTATGATTGTTGATCCTTTAACGAAGGGATTACCGTCCAAGTTGTTTGCTGACCATATAGTGAATATGAACATTATGTTTACTAGTAGTGAATATTGAATGTTAATATTATTATTAATGCTTATGTGACACTCTGAGATCTTTACTGTATAAGTTTGTGAAATTTGTGTTTTCTTCTTTATTTATATGCATGCAAATTATGATGAAGAAAACAAATTATGTTATTATTATTGAAATGATATTATGTTTGAACTCATTATGGACTTCTCATTATAAAGTCATATTAACACTACAAAAAAATTCATAATTATTAGAAGTTTATTTTAGCGGTTATAAAAACCGTAAAAATTGAAGGTAATTTATAACAAATAATTTAACTGACACAATAATCCTAATTAATATTAATTTTAAAAAAAATATTTGTTTTTATTTATTTTCATTTTTCTAACTTTGTCTTTTCTAATTCTCTCACTTTCTTCTGCCCTCTCTTTCTCTCCTTGCCGTCTCTTTCATTCCCACACTCATCATTCACTGCAACGCCACATGTCCTTTCTTAATCACCCATTCAAGTTTAATTTTTCAATTTATTAGCGAGTATTTAGTTTAAGTTATTAAGTTCTTACGTTTTACTTTTCATTTCACGTGTTTGTGATTTTTGTGGAAGATTACAAGAGTTTTATCTATCGCCTTTTGCTTCAATTCACAACATATGCTAATTTCTCCTTCTCTGTGATGCATGGAAAAAATATACGTTCAGTCGTTCTTTGTTTTTCCTTAACATCGGGTACG